TCTACAGTCGTCTACTTTTTTCTCATTTGCAGAAGCAATGTCAGATGATTTTGAATGCGGACAGGGATTTGGACAGGCTTTTGAGTTCTCGTGACGGTCGCCGCTCATTGATATTTTAATCTCAGTATATTTCGTAAAAAGGTGGTTTTAGGGTTCATTTGACCCAGGCTGGTATGCATTCATTTTAGTGATTTTGAGTGACGCGAGATAACTGCATACAACACAATGTAGGACACTCCCTCGAATACGTTCCCAGCGAGAGGCCATGCAGAAATCTAATTAGGCGAAAGACGAGGGACTAACTTGAGCGAGGCAGCGTAAAACCTGCAACATGGCAAGTTTGACTGCTGTATCGTGTCTTTTCTTTCAGGCTGCTGTCCTGCAGTTTCTTTTGGTTGCGGAAGCTTCTCACTTTCGTTATGGTACTATATCTTGGGCTCCAGTCGACTCTTACAGCAACACGGTAACGTACTATAAAGCGTCTCTTTTTAGAAATGAGACTGCAGGAGAATGCGAACTAAGTAACTAAGTAACTAACTGACCTTTATATCATGGACTCTTACCTTGGCTGGTAATAGATTGGTTTCTTAGTCTGCGTGTGGCTCGTTTTTGTCTCTTTTTCTCTGTAAACAGCGTTGGTAAGTACAGTTGGCAGACTGTAAACCTTCAAACTGTTCTCATGATAATTTGTACTGAGTCACAGAACGCTTTAGAATACAGTTCAACTTAAGCGTTCTATATGAGAATCGGTGTTGGTACTGAGATAACCTCTTCGTTCATGGGCCACAAGCTGTAACTGAATCTAACTTGTCGTTTAGAAGACTAACTTTGTTCTAGCATGCTAATACTGTTGAAAGCGTGCGTGCAGTGAGAGACCCCTTTTACTAACTGGTGAGATTACCATTTGAAGCTAGACTGGAAGTATTAGTTCGTTCCTTTACTTTATCTTATTATTTTATAATTATCGTTATTAATTTCTTGTTCCTTTTTCTTTAAGAAGTAATCTGCCAAGAGAGCACGATACGGCTACCAAAAATGATTTATATTTATGTTATTAAATAAATATTAATTAACTTTTCAATTTACGATATGCGCACTCCAATATTGGACGGAGGTTTTCGTTGATCATGCTCCATGCCTAAATTAATTTTATTTTAATCTTTCGATGCTTCCGACGAGTTTCTCATAAAATAAGAAGCAAATTTCTATAGCTCTTTCTCTCATTCCCCAGTATCAGCAGTTGCTAAACAAGGCTTGAACTATTGGCTTTAACCTTTGCTAAGAATCTTTGGCTACAACTCGAAACGGAGCTAGCTTCTCAGTCGTCGCTGTACGGTATTTCATCTTGCCGAGTGCCTGTTAACCAATTAACTTTTGCTTCAATGTCCTCGATGTTGTGCTGGGTCTTAACATATTTAATGTTATTTAAAGCGGAATGGTTGGGAAACCGTCCTTTGTTATATGTTTTTGTTAGCTTTTTTGGACCTGACGGTGCACAACGTGCACACAGTTTGCGAACAAAAAGCAAAGGAATGTGCAAGGTCAAAGAGCTTCCAACGTAACCGGCAGCATCATTGTTTTCAACTCTGATGTTTTCCGGCTTTCCTAACCAGTTTCCTCTACTAACTATGGTCTAAATTTTATGGACGATACTTGGATACAATTCAACTAGTGGATTGCGGGGATTCTTGCTTTTACTTAATAATATTTTTTCCAGTGCTTAACAGCGTTGCTCGTACGGGGTGTGCTTGCCTTTAACGTTAGCAGAACTCTAAAGTGTAATGCCTGAATCTAAAAGTGAAGTGGTACGGCAAGTATATGCCGAAAAATTATTATGGTGATTACAGTGATGATGACTCGAAAATACGATGGAAATCATCGGTTACAGGGTTTGACCTTGGGTCTAAAGGAAATGCAAATTTAGATGCATTTTAGCCAACAGATCCGGTCAACTGTGTCGATTTCTCGGAAAAGATACCACATGCTCAGTCAGATCCTGAAGTAATTAACTGTGTTAATTTCTCAGAAATGAGCCCCACTAATCATAATGCACGTTTAGCCAGACTTGGGCGGTAAATAAAACGTCCGGCAGTGACTCAGCGTGAAACTAAACATGATTTCCTTTTTCGCATGCACTCATGCATTCCAATATCAAACATCTCAACCGTTGTTAGCCCGGAAAAACCATGCAAACTTAGCATTAACTTGCCTATACAGCCTTCCCTTCGCTTCCTCGCTGCGAGGGACGTTTCGAGACATAGACACAATTTGTACCACGTGACGAAGTGTTCCCTTTACTAGTCGTTTACTCTTTATCATTTATTCCAAAATATTAGCAGTTTCACGCTAGTTTCATCCATAAAAATTAGTTCGCACAGTTTTTATCTGGTTATTTTCTCTCCTAAGAAATCGTCAGCTTGAATTTGACGTTTGCCGTTAACGTGATTTTAAATCTCTCTAATAACACGCTCCTCTAGGTGCAATACTTTTCCAAGAGCACGATTTTTCTAGTTTTTATTTGCCTCGAAGTATATCCGCGATGCATCCGTTTCGAAAAGTGCCAAGCATTTTCCCCGGAATTAACAAAGAAGAGACCATCGTTAATGAAGGGCCAGAGCTTAGAGAAACGTGATCTTTTAACGGTGGCTAATTACTTCATCATAAATAATTAATCAAAACAAAATAACTGTATTCATTCCTTTAAGCAGACGTAGAAACTGACCACTTAAGGTGGTAATCTCATCATGATTTGTTGCAGGGACAAATAAAAAGCTTTCAGAAAATTCGAGAAGGGGCCCATCAGACTCGCATTAAGTTTCTTTCTCTTTTTATCAGGGTGGGGTTGTTTTTGAAACTCTTTGCACCAGTAGGCTCTTTGCGTAACTTGATCACGTGATCAACTTTTGAAAAATTTTCTTAGCACAAGCTGAAATACCATTTTAAAATTAAGTAACCTGAGCATTTTCAGCCGTATATCTCAAAAGTAGCGATTGCAAAGGCCGCCGAAAATTGGAAGCATTATGATTTGTATGAGAAGTAACAACTTTTGCCATCCAGTCACGCTTTCATGGTTTTCCACACAAATCCTTGTAGTTTCGAAATTTTCAAAACTTTCATGAAATATTTCCATAAGTAGTGCTGGGCTCAAATCTCCTTTTAATTCATAACAGGCAATTTGAGCCCTCAAATGCGTAAGTTTAAAAATTTTAGAATTTCTGACAAGGATTGAAATGGAAAACCATACAAGCGTGACTGGATGGCAAAAGTTGTTTTGCTCATAAAAATGCCTCTAACGTTCGGCGGCCGTTACAACCGCTACTTTTAAGATACACAGCTGAAAATTCTAAGGTTACCTAATTTTAATATGCTCTTTTAGCTTGTGCTAACAAAATTTTTCAATGGTGAACTGTTGACGTGTTTACCGAAAGTTGATCACGTGATCAAGTCATGCAAGAAGCCTATTAAAGTACCGGCGGATAGAAATTGGGGCGCTGATCTCTCTCAATCCTCTTGGAGCTTAGCCTGAATTTCAGACCAATATTTAGAGTCGTTTTTACTTCCTCAGTAACGTCTGAATCAAGAGGAGAAAACGAAGCGAAGTAATCGTGTGAAATTCGGGCCACTTGGGGCTTCGCTTGGCACCTTTTCACATTCTTCTCGCTAAACTTTCGCAGCTCGAGTTATTCACCTCGAAATGTAGAAGCCGTTACAAAACATATAATCAAGTTATAAATTTATGGATTTGATGTTGGATACACCATATAACAAAATCAGTTTATTAGGGTATTTCATTTGATTTCATTTAAATGTTGGTTTTGACAAGGCCTCAGTTAAACATTCGTATAATGTTGATGTAATGAAATTGTCGCGGTAACTCTAATACTGTCGGTGTTATTACCATATGACTCTAATAGCAAGACAAGCATTCTTACTGCATTATAGTCTCACATAAACCATCGAAACTGTGCAGCTAACAAACGCGTCTTAATAGTGATGAGTTATTTTTAAGTTGTTGTCGTTTTGGTATGACTGTTTTATGTCGATAAAGAATTGAATATGTGACCGCGCCTAATTGCCAACGAGCCATCCGAGCGAAGACGCTCGGATGGCGAGGCGGCAGCAGAATAGAGCCGCGCAAGACTCGGCTGTAGGCAGAAAAATTCTCGATCGAGCTTCAAAAAGTGTAACCTCATGTAATGTAGATTCCCCTGAGATCAAGTGGTGTGACAGTTTCAGCCAATCAAAAGGCGGTAAACTATACTTGGCGCACATGTGTTCTTTCCTCGGCGGCACGCGAAGACTGAACTTGAATGTGGTACGCTTTTATTGTTTATTCACCTAAATCTGGCCCCGGCAGTCAAGGAAAATGAAAACTTGATGCATTGTATTAATTTGGGGGCCATTAATGTAAGGTTTTAACGAAGAGAAGCTTGTAAAACAACAGTTTAAGCAAAGAAAAGTTTTCCATGTGGTGCAAGCAATTCTCACCACTAAAAAGGATCAGATTACACGAAGAATATAAAGTCGCTTCTGTTGGAAAATCTGATGTTGGGGAAAAAATCTAACCAGCAAATGGAAAAACAAGAATAAAAAAGAATTACAAGCCTAAAGCGAACGACAAAGGATAAGAAAACAACGCTATTGTTTTCGAAACCTGGCCGAGTTTATAATAAAGTGAAAACAAAATACCGACGTGCCGTTACATCGCATGTCCTCGAAAACATTTCAAGCAGCGCAGCGAATCATTCTAAAATTCAATCGGGAACTCGACAAAAAGCCTCGGGAAATTTCAGAGGAGGTTTAAATGATTAAACTGCACAAATATTTATCTACAAAGTGAAACCGAACCGACACTAATTTTGTAGTGGTAAGAGAAACGATCTTTTTTTTTATTTCCCCCTAAGTATATATTACCGATCGCTTCCTCTGCAAGCTGTTTTATTCTTTCAAAAAAGTATGCCTCATGACACTTCAAACTTTTATATAGCAGGTTCGTAAAGCCACAGGAGCCTGAGGACTGACTCTTCTCCGAACCTTTACACTTGCATAGCACCTCAGTTTCAAGAAAATAATCCTTTCAACAGGAAGGGACCAAGAAACTGTCAAATGTTGGAAAAAAGGAACCATTCCTATGCAAAATACGCATGATTTGCTCGTTGGCACTCTATCGATAGGTATACCTAGTAGGTATTCCGAATAACCCACATAGAAAGTACAATGATTGAATGCAACTAGCTCAGTACTTCAGTGTCTTGATCATAGTCTTGCGACTCATGGATTATTCTATGGGCTGAGAATATCTAGTTAAAGCTTACGTTGCTTCTTATATTTTCTCTTTTTATATGCCTATCAGCTTCGTTTCACATTTCGTCTGGCTTTTCGAAGATCATTCTCGTCCTCCTATTACTGTGATCAAAGTACCATAGGCAGTGGAAGTATTCGTGGATCAGGAGGTTCATGGAGGGCTAAGTGTAATTACTGCTCATCAACCACTATTGCAAGCACTGGTTTTCACTGTACAGACTACAGTAGCAACGAGGATTGGACAGTGGGTGAAAATAACTTCAACTACACTTTTTCATCCTACGATAGATGGGTTGTAAGGTACATTCCTCTATTTAGTACTACGTTATTTTATCATACGACCTCAATTTCAAAATAATAAACAATGACTGATACAATCATCATTTTCATAAAAAAGTGTGATAATCAACTTGTCACAGGTCATATAAGATGTGTTTCAGCGTCAGCATCCGACTTAGGTCTTTCGCTATCAAGTGTATTCTTTGTATAGTCCTTGATGTCTTGTGTCTTGAATGATGGCCATCGTTGCAGGACCATGACATTTTGTCTGATATGCTGCATTTTGTTATAGCTATAGTAGCTGTTGTTGGATATCCTTGTCCCGGTATGGGAATGGCGCTTGGTTTATATCGACCACCGTTAATCTGACCAGAAGGTCAGATAATGGGAGAATTAACTCGTCTCCTGTATCAAGAAGCCCGGCTATTGTTCGGTGGTCTGAAGGTTGTCCCAGTCAGTCTATAAGGATCCCTGTAGAAGACGCCGACGGAGATGTGGTAAAATGTCGCTATGCAAATTACTCCGAGTCCTACTTTAACAACGATAGTTTTCCTTATGGCACATTTGATGAGGTAATTAGTCATTTATGTGTTAATTGTTTGTACAACTTGTTCTACCTGCGGTATGGTTGTTCGTTGTCAGACATAACTAATCGGTGACATCAAGGACATCAATGACATCAATGAAATCAATGAATAATCAATAAGCAATCGATGGGTAATCAGTTGATTAGTCATTAATTATATCCGATATTCAATGAGTAGTCGATGAATAATCGATAGGCCACAATTAGTCATTGATTATATTAGCAGTATCAAATAAACTCGCGGGTGCGCAAACCACACCAAATCCGGAACCAGCAGGACGAACAACATTACGGCTAGCAGAGTAATTGTTTTAGCTACTGTAGCTTTTTGCGTTTATCAGAAAACCTGATTTGACATTAAACGGCCAAATTTGGTTGTTTAATGCTGAAAAGTGGATTTTTGTTAAGAGCTTGGTACCTTGCTTAATTCCGCTGCTAATGACGGAAGTCTTCCTAAGCCGAAGCAGCAGTTCTTTGTTGAGAAACAGCCACTGCATGGGATTTCCAACCATCCTTTGCTAATGCGAAGTTAGGTTATTGCTGTTCTCCTGTTAGTTAAGAAACGTTTAAATGCTTGAATCGAAGTGAGATCCATTTGTTGGCAGTACCTCTCGTTAATATTTTCCCTAGATCAAATTTACTCAGACATTTAGTTTGTATAAATCTGGATAAATCGAAACAATTACCTTTCAGACGCTGAAATCTTTTACCCGGTAGGCACTCTGCGGTGGCTGTTTCTTACCAAAGACACAGACTCTAATAGCCAAGAGAGTAGATAGCTCGACATTCGTTACTGATATTTCAGTTACTGTCCAATAAATGAATTTTATTTGCTTGGTTTTCTACATCCAAATTCAACTCCTATTTGGCTATTACTATCATCAAGAACCATTAACCTAAATTTTTATCACCGGAAATATGTAATGAAAAAAAAAACTGCAGCTACACTTTGTATGAGATGTGTAATTGATGACTAATCGATGGATAATCATTAGTTATTATTCATTCAAAATATTTCCCCAATTCTGAATGGCTAAAAGCACACGCATAATTCACCATAACCAGTGATCGATGACCAAATTTGGAAGAATTTTGTGTTTAACGAGGAAATGACGTCAAAAATGCTGCCTTCTACAGGTTAATGCACCGTTAACCGAGAAGACCTGGGGACGAGGTTGAGTTGTTTCGCTTGTGAAAACTAAAATGACGGACACTTCACTCGTTTCAAGAGTAAGAACTAGGCAAAATTATAGCTAAAAAACATGGCAAGAACAGTAAGAACACAACTCGAAGGGCGACATCTGCTATTTGGAGAATATTTGCGGCGCTGAACAACCCTAAACGTACACTATCGAAGGTGAACTTAACATCGATATAGGTAAGCAAGTTTTAGCTTTGTTTTTAAACTAGGAATTATTTTGAATGAATAGTAAAAAAGTTATTGAATTCGGCTTTCGTATCATATGAAGGATTATGGAGATCTAGGAGGGTGTTATCCGCCTCGGATAAGACCCTCCTCGATCTCCATAATTCTTCAACAGATATATACTCATCCTCATTCATTAATTGTTAAATAATCGATCGCGATGAGTAATCGAACGCATCAATTACCCATCGATGACATCAACAGAGTAATTGATATCATCGATGAGTAATAGATAGGCCAAAAAATTTTTGGCCCTCGATTATAATTAGTCATCGATTACCCATTGATTATAGTGAATAATCAATGCCTAATCAGTTGATTACCCAATGATTACTTATCGATTACTCATTAATGCCATTCATCATCGATTAGTTACGTCTGTGTTCTTGATGGGTTTCTTCCCCCGAAGTCGCAGATCAAATGAGAATTCAGAAATATTAAATGATAGATAATAAAAGAAGAATTCAACATCACCGGTCTGACCGCGAATGTAAAAGTTACGTCGGGGAAGTTCTCTTATTACCGTCGTCGGTTTTGATTGTTGAGCCCGTGCAACTTTAATGAAGCCATTTCTTTGTAACAATATCGTTCAATTTTCCACTGATCCGCCCTCTTCTGGACCTTCTCACCAGAGAGAGTAACATTATACTGACTATCTACCACTCTTCATATTTTGATTTACCTTTATTGAAATATAATTCAAGTTAACTTCATCTAAGTTTTTTCCCTTTTGCAGAAAACGTGTTTGCTGACGTATAATGGCAACTATGGAACGGCTGGTACTTACGCTGTAGCTCTAACCATAGAGGACTTTCCAGCAGGAACTACAAACTTTGCCAGCATTACTCCATTCAGTGCTGTGGGACTGCAGTTTCTTGTCATAATAAGCAGCCATTCCGGTTCTTGTAACAATGTTCCTGTATTTACTCCTTCAACTCCTAACGATGGAGAATGTACCGAAGTACAGACTGGTTCATTATACAGAGTTGTTATTGAAGCCACACTTGCAGACTATTCAAAAAGGTCACTAAATTTTACTATTTTAGTTTATTTGGATAAATTATTATAACTGAATTAAAGTAATGGTCTGTGTTAAAAACGAATGACAATAACAGCTAGAGTTTTTTTTTTAATATCTCTTTGTGTCCATAACTCAAACCCGTCATGCCGGTGAAGCAATTAAGGTTTTTGTACCCCTCTAGATTGCAAAGAATGCATTACAAACTTGGCTTTTGTTATCGATTTTGTTATTTTATTATATTAGATTCGCCAATTCTTGACGGTGTCACCACAATAGCATAACGCCAATTACTGCGCAAGGCCAGTAACAGTCCTTCTCCCTATAAGAGATAGACTACCACACCGGGACCACGTCCCCTACTCTTTACGAACAGTGTGTACATGGATTCATTAACGTCTCACAGAATTTGTGTAGGTAAGGGTTGGGACACGGGGCCTACGGTTTATCGCCCTGATCAAAGAAGACTAGAAAGTCTAACCGTTTGTGACATGTGTTTACAAAGGCAACATTTTCTCCTCCGTCATTTAAATAAAGACCCTGAGTGTTGGTCTAACCGGAGTTTGAACCAGCAGCCTCCCGCTCGGCAGATCAACGCATATCTAACTGAGCTAACCGGGCGAAACTACCAACATTCAGCCGATAGTACTCTGACTGTCTGTGGGCCCGAAGAGCTCCTAAATTGATGCAGATATATTTAAACTAATTGAAATATAGAAAGATTGTCGTTCAGGTTATCACTATCAAAAACTAATCAACACATGAATTGAAGGATATAAAGTTCGAATAACGTGTTGTTGTAAATCTTTAACTCGTATTTCATTTTGAAATTTCAGCGTTGTGGAGATAGTGACGTCGTCTCCACCTGGAATGCAATTTACTTCTTTAAGGTTCCATGGAGGAGTCTATTACAGAAATGTCACGTGGTATCCTAACCAATACCAAGTAGGACAGCAGTCGTTTTGCTTCAAAGCAGTTGACTCCTCGGGGTGAGATGGCAAAGAAACAGTTACTTTACCGATAAAGGGCGAATAGTTAATAGAATACATTTAGAATAACATTTGGTTTTTGCGCGCGATTTCCCAGTAAATTTATCCAGTGTACGGTATCAATGCAGGAAAGTATAAAGGCATTTGTAATGAGCTCCGATCTTAGAACTGATATTTTGTCCTCGGAACATAACATATGATATATGAATATGATTCTAAATTTCAAGCCTTGGATGAAATTCGGAAATCTCTAGAAAATTCAATAAGAATTGGAATCGATCTCTTCTAAATGAGCATATCGCTTTTAGCATTACCGGTTATTCACTTTATGATCTTCTCTGTGAAGATCATCTTAATTTAAGGCTCATACTCTGGCGTGCAACCTTTTGATTATAACAGTTAGCTTAAACATTCACTTTGGTCTCCGGAAAAGTTTTTGCCTTGATATGAGTGTGCATCACCACATGAGCAGCAATGCAATATCGACTACGTTTCTGACGTTTCGGTTTGGCCCAGTTTTTGTACTTTTCTGACTCAATAAGGTGGTGGGGCATAGTCCTGTAACAGGACTACTGTTGACAATGGCTGACGTTTCGACGATCATGCTTCACCTACTTATGAAATGACTTCTGCCTTCAAACCTTTCACAATGTTGCAAACGTTTCACAATCAGGATACAATTTTTACATTAAGGAATATTTATTGTTTTTCCCCTTTTTCTCGTAGCATGGGAACTGAATGGCGCTGCGTAACCATTCTCGTGGGAATAAGTAAGTAACGTTTTAATCGTCGGTCGTAAAAGTAAATCAAACCTGAAAAACCATGGTACAAAAGCGGGAGCAATGCTAAGAGATTGCTTATCGTGAGGTTCTATTTTAGGGGCAGTGTCCGCACTTGGTTCCCTGGAACCATGCAGTGCCGGAGTATTTACAACACAACATGGTGTTTTGTTCACGCCTTGAGTACCCGATATGTAACTGTGTAGATAGTCACTCCATTTCGCCTTTTCAGACGGCATTTTGAAACATGAACTTAGCAGCGAGTACAAAACAAAACTGTGGACTGCCCCTGAACTAACAAAAACGTTGTGCTCATAAGGACGGTGCCTACTTTTGTGCTCAAGGACAAGATCTCGATCTCGTACTCGGGCACCTGTACAGTGCCCTAATTCTAGCGGGGTACTTGAAAAAAGGGCGTGTTTACATTAATTTTAGTGCCCAGCGAGTACCGTTGGCACTGTGCCAGGCACCAAGTGCGAACGCTGCTTCAGATAACGCAAATGTTATCTAACGGTTGATTATAGATGGCGATGGTGAGGAACGTCTAGAACAGTTCTGTGTTTTACACATAGCATTAATTTGCTGAGATTTTTTATTGCTATTGCTGACGCACGAATTTTGCCGTTGAGTTTATTTCACTATTATTTTAAAAAGAGTTAAATTATTTTCGAATTGTAGGTAGTACACCTCGAGTAGTTTGGGGAAGCCAGACTCCACAAAGTCCCTCCAGTAACAGCGGACCGGGTTATGTATGGTGGAGCATACAGTTTGATCGCGTGGTAAGTACAATTGTCTAAATTGTTGGTTGAAATAAGCTTAGCGTAGTCCTCTTTTACTTTATTTTACCGCGAGAATCAGCGTCCTCTTTCAGTTTCATAAACAACGAATGTCTGCTATAAAAACCTTTTTTCTCTCTCTCTTCTTTCTTTCTTTTTCCCTTTCCCTCGACCTCCTTTTATAGGTGATTCAGTTTTTTCAATTCTTTCATCTAGCACAAAATAAACATGTTTAAATTGAGTCCTTAGTAATTATCAGAATTGTTTACTACCCTATGTACGAAATCAACGTTAGGTCATCTACAGGGGGGAGGGGGAGAGGGAAAGGTGACTCTATTGTTTTCCGCCTTCGTTTCTTGATCCACTTCGCCTTCCAGTGTGACGTCACATAGTAAAGAGCAAGAGCTTCGGGTCGCTTGTGAAAATCAGCAAGGGATATACCACGGTTATTACCACGGGCGAGGTCGAGGAAAAGCTAAAAGGTTGTAAATACCGCTTTATCAGTGGCTAATTTGATCGCAAGTGTGTGAGCTTTGTTGTTGCTATAATCTGCTTATATAAACCGTTTTGATATTTTGTGTCCGTAATTGTATAATTTTGTTAAGTTGTTTTGCGGGCCTTGTTGCGGGATCGCCATCTTTTTCACGGGAGCGGCAAGCTCGTCAAAATTTAAATCCTTTTTTTTCTCTAAAATAAGCAAGTTCTAGTCTCCAGAATAGGAGTTTCCATTCACAGATCACACATGTTTTTATTTCATCTCCTTTTTGCTGATTAAACCGGCCTTGTTTCATATCAATTTTTTCGAGTATGGGCCTCTGTTGATTTCCAAATTCGCCACCAAATTTAATAAAGCTAGTTTGAACCCGAAATAATGCGAAATAGCTTTTTATTACCTTAAAATCTCCACTGGGTTTGACCGACAATAATTGAACGAGACCTTCCTGTTGAATTTCGGGATTTAATTACAGAATTACAGGTGCATGCCCAGTACAGTATTTTAAAAAATGTGATAAAGCAACAAGATTCAATGCTCACAGTCTCTCACAAATACCTGCTTGCATTTAGCTTCCTCATTCAACGCTAGAGCTAAGCGAACTTTCAAAGGACTCATATGGGGTTCCACTCAGCTCTGAAGAGCTGAAAATACGCACAATGTAAAGTATAATACAACCTTTGATGACATAGGCGTACGGGCAATTTTTTGCCAGGGGGGGCGGTAAACCATTTGCCCAAAAAATTCTTGCTAGTTGCCCAAATGTTTACAAAACAGTCGAACAGAAACGAGGGCCATACGATGCAACAACATAGGCCGTACTAGCATATGAAAGTGGCTCGATCCCAGGGGCCCCACTCACATTTTTTAATGACGGGGGGGTCCGAATAATTTTTTGGGGTCTGACATTTTGGCCAAAAGGGATTTTTTTGGGTCTATGAAAGACGCCGCGATTTTTTTGGGTCGTGAAAACAACAGAGGGATTTTTTGGGGTATTGTACTTTTCATCAGCTCAAATCAAAAATAACATAAGCGCAATTTATAGTTTTGTTTTTGACCAAAACCAAAGTTGAAGTTGGCATGTTTTAGTTTTCCAGAAGATAAATAATAAAATTTGCTGATGCAAAAACACTGAGGGATTTTTTTGGGTGACAAATTCTGAAGTTGGGAGTTTTTTTGGGTATAGAATACGAACCTCTGTCGGACCCCCCCGTCATTAAAATATGTGAGTGGGGCCCCTGGGGGCTCGATACAGTTTTTCAGGGTCAATACCTGTCAAGTTTTTTTTGAGCATAGACTACGACACCATAAACAAACATTTGGAAAAATTGCCACCACAGTTGTATTGGATAAAGATGAAAATTTGTTATGATCTGGGTTGCAATAACATCGGAGTTGTCATAGCAACCAAATGATGCCATTACCTATTATACTTGCAGCAACATTTCTCACTGGAAACTGTTCTTCCAAAATCGTTCACGGGAGAATTTTCCTCCAATAGTCGCCTTGATGTTCGTGAAGTTAAAACGGAATCTGTAAGAGCGTTGCGGAGATATTTTGGGATAAAGTTTTTATCGTTAGAAATACGGTAAAAAAGGAAAATCTTGATGTTTGGCCGTTATCTGTAGAAAACGAAGCGCTTTTGAAATGCAATTTCACCTCATAGTAGTTTCAATCTTTTTAAAAACGTGGGTAAAAGATCATGGGGATAGCTCTGGCCAGAAAGGAATTTGAGTATTTAGTATGTATCATGGCGCTCTTGTTAGCGGTTTTGTAAACATTTTGGTCTAATTTAACAAATTAGTGAATAATTTTTAAACCACTCGATAGATTTTTGTAAAAAAAACTATGATTCTTCGCGTAATTCAAACTGAGAATTAGTCAGCCACTTCTTCACTTTCAGACCCATTGCTGATGCTATCTGCCATACACTGTTCTACGAGCGGAGATGATTCTAGAAAGTTGGGCGGAAGTTTATTCTAATCAATTCACGACTGGAAATAGCCCATTGCAGTACAGTGCCCAACAATAAAAAAACCATCACATAATACCCTTCCCTTACAACCAGAAACTCATTACGTGCTAGGCAACCACTGTCTCGTGTGAATGTAACAGTACTGGATTATTACGCCAACTTCAGGTTAAAATAGAAAATATTTATCTCTTCAAAATAATGATTTAAAAAACACGGAAACGTCTTTAAAAACTGGCTTTGCCCAAATTTTCTCTCGCTGCCCAAAAAATCTGAGTTGCCCAAAATTTGGGGGGGCTGCAGCCCCCCTCGCCCCCCCGGCCCGTACGCCTATGCTTTGATGAACCTCCTATTGCTGTGTCTAAATTCCTTAATCTTGCTATGCACTGGCCCTCAAAAGTGTGATCGGTCAGTATTATTGCCCGTAAAATTTGCTTGACGATAGGAAGGAAGCTTTAAAATTCATTACACGAGTCAGGACGTTTCATTCCAAAAAAGTACCAAAGTCTGGTTTTCTATGACAACAGGGATCTTAAAATCTCTAAATCCAAGAAATCGGAACAGTATTTCCGTGATAAGTACGAAATTTTTATTTGTCTCTTCGATGAATACTTTGCTCGCCACGTTGAAAGTCACTGACGCGAGACGTGACGTCATTATATATTGACAGGCGGACTGAACCACCGATTTCCTTGGAGACCCTCCCCCCCCTCCCGGGTCATCTATAACTTGGCACGACGCGAAGCTTGAAATCAAATATCCATCATATTCACCAAGTGTAAATCTGAATATTGGCCAAGTTTTAGGCCGTATATATGAGCAAGTTTGATCAGTGTGATCTGTAAAGGGTTTATATATGTATAAATAACGGCCCTTTCAGGAAAAAATAAAACGAGCAATTCCGAACGAGTGTCTATCTCGCCTGCTCGAGGCCAATTCGAAAACAGATTCGCTTATTAATAATCTTAATCTCGCGGAGCCATAACAAAGCCATCTGTTAACGTATGTTTTGTGAAAAATACAGATAAAGAAGCCTCGCACTTCTTCCTTCATCCGGCTCGTTCTTCTTCCCAGTGGTCACACAGTTTATAAAGTGGACACACTCTCTCAGTTTGCCATAATCAACAGTGATCTTACCACCCTGTGGTTCGCAATGCCTGATGCTGCATTAAGTATGAACGGCTCGTACGCTATTTTGATGGATCGTGGTGCAGTGGTTGGACAAGGTTGTTCGTATGATGGACCTCCGACACCAGGAATAACTAACACAAGTGACTGGCATTTCACCGCTGGTGTTTGTCCTGTCGGATATACCCTTGCTCCACCAGATTTTTCCAACTGCGTTGGTATGTATAGTTATCTTTTTCCTGATTACAGTCATTATTGTTTATTCAAAATATTTCTACGTTTCTTATTGGCTCAAGTCCCCCGGCTAATTCTCCTTTTGCAACATTCGGTAAAATGACGTCACAAGTACAGGCTTTCGCCAGAAAAAGGGAGGGCGGCCAAGAAGCCCTGGGGAAGACAATGCGTACTAGCTCAGTTGTTTCTAGGAGAAATCTGCGGAAATTTCACACGTTTTACGAAAAACCATAGCAAAATTTCTAGCTAACATAGCAAGAACAGCAAATTAATACAACTCAACGGATCAGCCGACTGCTATTTGAAGAATGCCTGATAGATTAACCTTGCCTTAATCATGCTGAATTTTCCGAGGAACAGACATGCATAAAAATAAAGATGGGAACTTAGTTAACATCGATCGAGGTAAACATGTTTCGCGGAATAATGAAACGATTAATATTAAGATTTGTTTGAAAAAAAAAAAAAAATGGACAGATCCCTTTAGGGAGAGGTATTCCTCTCTATTCTTCTTCTGGTCCCAACCGAGGTTTAAGGGGCTGATAACACGGCGCGGGATGACTTGGTTTCGCGACTGACTTGGTTCGTCGAGATCTCGATCCGTGCAACTAAAAATAACTTCAAGTTTAGAATATATGAAAATCATACATGTGACCCGCGGAGTGAAGAATTAAATGAAGGCGATGATCATCCTTCATTTAATTCTTCACTCCGCGGTTCACATATATGATTTTCATCCTTTAACGGGTTTTATAACGAACCAATTCAACGACCTGCTCCCAGTTGGCTTGTTAGCTTAATTGGTAGAGCGCTGCACCTGTATCTCAGAGTTCAAGGGTTCGAATCCCGTACAAGCCTGAATTTTTTCAGGCTTTCTTTTCGCAACTGCAAAAGTTGCGTATATAACTGCGATGATCATCCTTCATTTAATAAAAATAACTTCGTTATCAGAGATCCCTGCTAATTAACGGAATCCTGCTAACTAAGTAACGGAAGAGTGTAAGACCTTTTTTTTTCTTTTCAGACATAAACGAGTGTGGGTCTCCTTCGAGATCAAAACGCAGTTTTTATTGGTGGGGTTATACGACGCCCTCGTCAACACAGTGGCTTACTACCGGTGAGTTAATCGGGCTTAAACACTGCTTACAATAGCTGTAAGTATTGCAAAAGAAAGTGTGAAAAACTGAGATATTCTCTTGTATAATGCATCATTACTGACTACAAGATAGCTGTAAAAAGACAGGCACTGTTTCTTACAATGTAAATTGCTACCTTAAAATCACATAACTACAAGAAAGTCGCATAAATCTAGTAAAAAAGTTGTCACTGAATTTGATCATTTCAATAAACAGAACTAAGAAGAACTCGTAACTAAGAAGACATTATGTAGGCAGATACAAGGAGTCAGTGGGTGATTTAATTTCATTCTTTTTGCAGCGATATCTCTTTCGACAAGTTCTTCCTATGTACCATTTACGGCTTCTTTTCCTGGTAAGAAAATGTGTCCATAATTAAATATGTGGAATACCTGATCATGCATTATACTAGAATGTAAAACAGTCCATAATTTTACGTATTCAAGTACGCGCATTCAAGCACGCGCAATCAGTCAGAGATAAAAACCGACTGTCGGTTTTGCAGACTAAGCTGGATATATATATCAATGGACTCTTGTTCTTGTCCGTGTTCTTCTTCTTCTTCTTATCAAAGTAATGTTAACCTCTCAACTAAAGGTTAGTGTTAGAATGTAAAGGGTTTTGGTAAAAATTGTTTCAAGATATCTTACTTTTTCTCCAGATAAAGGGGAACTGATGTGATATAAGATATTAAAAGTAAAACACTTTAACAATTCATTGCAGTATTTCATAACAACTGATGCAACATGATTTTAGTTCAGTTAAGTCCTCTTTTTACATAAATTCTCCTAGTAGTATCCTAAAGCCATTACATTAAGACTTTTCTGCCTTTTTTCCATAGGATCTTGTTCACGCCATATTTACAGCTATTTATACAGTTACGGCTATCTTTATAGTCCCGGCTATCCTGGTTGTTATGCAGACAATCTGATATGTACATGGTTGATTGAAGCTCCTTCAGGTTACTACGTTCATTTGTATTTCTATTACTTAAACCTGGAATATTGCGGAAGCAGCTGTTTTTGTGACTACTTGGAGATACGTGATGGCAGTACACTCTCAAGTCCATTAATAACGAAAACCTGTGGCTCTTTGGGATATTTTTACGTGTATAGCAGTGGCAGATTTCTCCTTCTACGGTTCCGTACGGATGGAAGGGTTCAAGGGGCTGGCTTCGCGGGTTATTACAGAACCTTGAGCTATCGTAAGGGATACAATTACTCATTTGATTTTTTAAATATTCTTATAGAGCGACTTTCGTATGGGTTTGAAATGAAAACGCGCGAACAAAACAAAAAAAAGCAAAAGAACGGAAATAGAGATATAGAAATAGTGGTTTATCGAACGGATACAAACGTGCGTGGGTTTTGGTTGGTTGAGGGCTGGTTCCCCCAAGCGACATAACAATCATTGCATAATCATAGTCATAAAGGCGTTTATGTCGGTTAAAACGCCAAAAAAACGAAATCATATATACGCTTATGATCGACATAATGATAATCATAAGAAAATGATCGGTCATTTTCTTATGATTATTATTACGTTTGTGATTATGCCTATATCGTAGTGGGAACGTAAAACCTAGCATTCATAGTCATAATCATAATATGGGATATGCTCTTTCATTGTATTTTGGCCATTGAGCGTCCTAGTTTAAGTAACTTACCGCTCATTCTATTCCTTGATCCCCAAGGGAAGTTCTTGATCAAGACGGATGCTTTCCTGTTGCCTTCAATATAGGTCTCACCCAAAAGCGCCTTTGATTTTCCCTGTTTTCTGTCAGGAGATGTCGTCTTGATTCAAGAAGCAAAAGGATAAATACACACTGTATTATGATAATACAATGGCGAAAAAAACCTGATTAAATGTGGTCGATGTGATAAAGCCCATCATTACCGCAATTTAGATCCGTAGGTTTGTATGGCAGCCACTTTTAAAGCATCGCACTCAAAACGATGAGCACACACTTAAATTTCCAGGTCTTGCACCTGTGTGTTCCCACTAGATCATAACAACTTTATGATTATGGTATTATTTTTATGATTATGATTATGATCATTATGTCGCTGATGGGAACCAAGCCTAAGCGGACGCTTGGGTGAAAAAACTTCATGCCCGAAAACTTTCCAAAATTCAATCGATCCTTCGCTTTGACGGCATACTGCAACACGATAACTGATTGACCAATCGAGCAATCCTTTTTCCATATTAGGGTTTTCTTTGGCGGGAAAACGAAGACTTCATGTCTTCTTCATGCTCTTTTCATCCATTGGCTGTAAAAACGAATAACGAACACTTATCCAAACAACTTTTCAAGGTCATACGAAAATCACTCTTCTGTTATTATGATGTACGTATATGACATGACAAATGTAAAATATAAATGGAAAGAACTTTCTATTGTTGGATTTCCTTCCTTGAGAAAGATTCCCTGTTTGGCGGAAACTCGTTCAGTTCTTTATCTTTTTTAGAGTGTTTGAGAATGGATGCATATAATCTGGCCATGGTGTTTTTTAAGCTTTTCTTTCTTTGAAGACAATGATGGAGAGCTGGTAGGGTTGAAACCAACCCAAATTAAGTGTCAAACATACAGATGAATAAAGGGTTTTAACGGTTTCTAAAGAAGTTGTGTTGTTACGTCGGTTAGGGGAGCGACTAATGAAATACACAGATTTGGTTTTATCCGACTGAGTTGGTGAGGGTAATTTGCCGCCTTCGTCGATCATTCTAGTAGAAAACCAAATCTTTAAACAAACACATAATTCGGTGTTCCGCTTAAAACAAAGTATTTTACAATTTGAGTATTCAGTGTTACTGAAAATGGGGCTCTCACAACAAGACTGTGCCCTAAGTATCTGCGATCCCTTGGAATTTTTTGGCTCTTCGCTGCTTTTTATCTTTTTTTTTTTTATTTTCCAAGTGAATCTTACAGCTATATTTGAGGACGCCTAAAAAAAAATGCTGATTAGGCTAACCTTACCTACACCTATTTGTCAGAGTCTGATCATGTTATTTAATATTTATGCGACAGGGGGCAGTAATTGGATACCTTCGAATCAGGTCTCAAGTACTAGTTTTGTAGCCTGTGTGCCATCTCAGACTCTAGTAACACGGATTTCAACCACACTGCGTAAGTAAATTCCTAGTTAATGAATAAATCGTTTTGTTTTTATGTCACTAGCTCAGATTGAAATTTAATATGAATGTGTTAGTAATACTGAAATCAACGCGCTGCACATCTATTACAATGGCACAAACCCTTTTTGTTTTGAAGTTCGCTGATTCAAGATGCTTAAGCTCATAATGCATGTACTTTCGCCTGCGTCGTAAGAGAGTATTTGTTATCAAATACTTAAGTTCAACTGGACTTGGTATCAATGACATTACGCAATTGTTTTATATTTTTCTTCGGCAAATTCTTATTTTTCAGCAATAATTCCAACGACAAGTTCTTCATACATTCCATCCACTATTTCATATTCTGGTAAGTACTTATTGCATTGTCCTCGCCGGCAGTATAAATCCGAAATCATGACTTTCATTCCGGAAAGAGTCCATTCCATCTCCATATATTTCTTCGCGTATGTTCACATGATACCCTGACGAATTTTTTTTCCGGTACATTTAGCCATTCGGGAATGGGTTCATTCCGGTTTTCATTCCAAATGAAATTCTCGTTCTTGTACGACATTTCATTCTGAAAACGAACTTCGTTCCGGATTGAAAATCCCAAATCTTGTGGCCTGGGACGACTAGCGCGTGCATACGTGGAAACCACGCTGGTTGGTGCGATGACGAGATATGACGTGATCGAGGTCAAGTCATTTATGCTCAAAATGGGCTTTCAAAACGCACTGTTTTTAAACTGTTTGCATATATTTAGCAATATCAAGATGCATGCATGACAAATAAAAGTGAATGACTTCACAGATGCCCGGCTGATTACCGGCATACCCCATTGAGTTCTGCCATATCGTTTTGCAAAGCTTGTCACTTCCTACATGCAGTTAAACTTCTCTACAACGGCCACCTTGGAGACAGAAGAAAGTGGCCATTGTTGAGAGGTGGCCGTTTACAGAGGTTGAAACAAGAGTGAATGTAATGGCCTTTGTAGAGAGGTGGCTGTTAGAGGAGGTTCCACTGTATTTTACGTTCTACTTTGGTTTTTTTAAAATGTTATAACACACAGCAAAACCCAATGGAGATTGCAACACTATTACCAATCCTCTTGTGCTGACCCATATGATACGGGTACAAAAGTATGGAATTGCTTGTATCAATGTAATGCATCAGAGGGATAACGCATGGATCCCTAATTATAATTACTATTAATAAGTATTAATATTTAACTGTCTAGTTTTAATTTTAACGTTTCAATCACCTTTCTTTCCGTATATCATCACACTGGCTTCTTAAAGTCGCTCGAAAGCCAAAATTTCCGGCTGTCTAGGCTGAAAGAACTGCTCAGCCGTTCCAAATTGAAATAGGCGTTCCTAATTGATTCCGGCAGAAGCCGAAATTTTCAGGTAATTAATCCAATTTATTAGGTTCGGCTCATGAAAAGTACGGCATTTGAACCGTGCCTCGAAACTGCTGGTGCGCGGCTTTATTTGAATACCATTTGAATACCATGCTGAAAATCCGAAGCTCTAAGGAGATATAACTGTGTCACGTTTCGAGATAAATGCTCGGTAAACAACTGTCCCGAGGTGAGGGTTAATTCGAGAACCATAAAATCAACTAAACAGGTTTTATTTTGGCTTGGAAAACTCAATTTCTGGACAAACATAGGAACAACTTTTTTTATCATTTTTCGGTTTTTTGTAGCTAATCCTAAAACAAAATGTCTGAGAGCCATTCTTGGCCATGTGGCATAGGCAATCTGCTCCATTATCAGCAGCAGACTTTCTCTCTTTCGTCGTAATTAAACCATATTTTAATTTTGACTCTTCTTTACGTTCTTTACTCTTGTGTTAACAACACTTTACTTATTGTTCTGCTGCCTGGGGTAACTGCTGCACCATCTCCTGTTATGTCCCAGTTCGTCTTCATAAGCGTGCTGGGCGTGTCCTCTTTAAAGCCGACTTCTCTCAGGCGTCTACTTCCTCATTCTTAAAACTACAGTGGACCTCCTTTAGTTGATCTTATTAAATACAGGGAAGTTGTGCTCCCAAATGCCTCAAAAATAGATTTCAACTCCTCTCCGTTTTACGTGGACCTCTGGGCCAAGAGCCTTCTTTATGAACTTTTTAAAGGTGCTATACCCACACAGCAACTCCTCAAAACGCACATTGACCGGGCCTACAGTGCTAATCTACACTTTTCAATGATCTCAATTCTGACCTTAAAGGTTACTTTAGTGCTTCTTCTCTGCGGACATCCAAATCTCTTATTTTTATCCTCTCCTTGATTAAGTGAAAATTACCACTTCTCTATAATTGAACTTTTTCCGTATGATTTACAAATTCATGTTACTCGCTTTAAAAAATATCCATTGTCCTTATATATTTCTGTTATTATAAATAAAGGATATTACATAACCGCGCAGAGATACGAAATTTCTCTTCCGGTGTTGAGAAATATTTCACAAGTGAGCGCAGCGAACGAGTGAAATACTTTTTCAACAGAAGAGAAATTTCGTATCTCCAGGCGGCAATGTAATGTTCTATTTATCATGCAAACACCAATGAAATACCAAACCATTTCACTTTTTTAAATAGTTTTTTCCTGAGAAAGGCGCAATTTATTATGTAGCCATAGCAACAGTGATATTTCACTTGTGAAGATAACATGTTATTTTCACATGTCAAGATATCATGTTTTCGAACGAAAGCTCACCTGATTTTTCATTGGTGCTTATATTTAACAATTAATGAATAAGGCTAAGTATCTTATGAAGAATTATGGAGATCGTGGAGGTTGTTATCCGTCGAGGCGGATAACACCCTCCGAGATCTCCATAATTCTTCATATGATACGAAAGCCGAATTCAATAATTGTTTTATTATTCATTCAAAATAATTCCTAGTTTAAAAACATAGCTAAAACATGCTTACCTCCACCGATGTTAAGCTCATCTTCGATAGCGCACGTTCAGGGTTGTTAAGCTCCGCAAATATTCTCCAAATAGCAGATGTCGAACTTCGAGTTGTCTTTTTGCTGTTCTTGGCATGTTTTAAACTATTATTTCGCCTGGTTCTTACTCTTGAAATGAGTGAAATGTCCGCCATTTTTGTTTTCACAACAAAAACAACTCAACCTAGTCCCCAGGTCTTCTCGGTTAACGGTGCATTAACCTGCAAGGAAGCTGCACTTTTGACGTCATCGGTTGATTAATCGCAAAATTCGATCTTCCAAATTTGGTCATCAGTAGCTGGTTGTGGTGAATTATGCGCGTGCTTTTAGCCAATAAGAATCGTCGAAATATTTTGAATAAATAATAAAATAAAGTTACTCTATTGTATTAATTGGTTTTGGTCAACAATAAAAAAATGGTCGCCATAAGGACTTGCCCCTAGTGCCACCATTGGGTGTAAATATTGGTCTTTTAAAGGCTTTGGAACAAATAGCCGTTTTATGTACGCGGATAAATGAATTTTATCTTCACGTAAAATTCTTCATTATTCGACTGTTTACTGATCCTTTCAGGGCCCTTTCCTCTAAAAAAATAAAGTGCTGCCTTGAAAAAAATTACAGGGTAGCATTAGCAAGTCCATTTTCATTCATTTACTCGATGTCTAGTAAGGGGGCTACCCACTGCCCACTGCCCCAAAACGGAAAATTAGAGTCCTGTCCTGTCAAAACTTTGCTGCTCCCAAATGACCCGTGACTAAAACAAATACCTGGTTCACAAGCCTGGACGGCTTACCCTGATTTAACAAAAGATTTTCCCCTCTCTAGCAATTTGTGAGGTTTGGGAGGAGGACAACCTCGGATCGTAAAAATAGTCAATTAGGGACGGAATTAAGACGGGAAGAGAATAAGAAAAATGAGACTTGCTTCACAAGGAGGAGGGTCAGTTAAATTTGAAGAAGGCTTTCCTCTATTTGCTCAAGCCCTCCGCTCTCCTTTCTAGGTAATGATCGGTTTGCTCACCGGTCGGTACGATTTTCAAGGGCCTCCATGCTAAAACGCCCAGACAAACGAGCTGGCTTAGTCTCCTAGATCTCGCCACACTCAGTTTCGTATTATTCGTTTTCACCTGTTTTGAGCTTCGGATTGTTAGCATGGGATTCAAATATGACCGCATACCAGCAGTTTCTAAAGCACATTTACTGGAATTTTATGGAATCCGGCATCTCAGGGATTAGAATAATGGCTCGATTTGTGAGTCAGTGCCAGTAATGTCAATTAGGTAAGCCGTACTTTTGACAAAATCTGCCTCAGATAGATCCGTTACGCCAGAGCTGAAAATATCGCATTAGCTTGCATATGCGTTGATACGAACGGCCATAACTTTTAAAATACTGAAATCGTACATGGGTTTTAATACAATTTTAACAACGGATGATCTATCTTTTCGTCTGTTTGGTCTAGAGCTTTCAACTAGGTCCCAAACGTCAGAAATAAGCTTTAATCCTAGGTCATTTTTAACCTTTCGCTCCAAGGCAAATAGTTGGGGTCATATTTTGCTTGATTTGGTCTTTGCAGCTACATTTAGCAAATGGCTAATTACTTTCAGCACAAACTAGAAGTGTTTACCTATAAATTGATACAAAATTCATCGGCACAATTGTTGCAAATCAAACATTTGGCAGCGCCGCAGAAAATGCCTAATTTTCAGTTTTTAATAGGTGGAAGTGGCCGTGGCGGGAGAAAATACTCAGCGCCCCCCAGCGCGGACAGAAATTATTAGTTATAGTCTCGATAAAGCCTTTCACTTGCCAGAGTTTCGGGCAAAATCATTTTTCACGCGAAATTGAGTGGGCTAAAAGTAAGAACCGATTGGCTGTATAGGTGTATTGAATGAGTACAATTTGTCCTGCAAAACTGTGAAAAACCGCATTCTGTCCGAGGTATGTACTAAGCTAATACTATAAAAACACTGCCTCATGCATAGTACACTGTTTACCCCAGATGTGATGTATAAAATGTATAATGGCTGGCTCATACGTCACAAGAGTTGTTGACAAGATTTTTTCAAGTAAACTTATCGAACAAAAAATTGGGGTTAATTTTTTATTTTTGCCTCCCTTTTAGACAAAGGAATACAACCTTTTAACGTCAATGTGTAAACTGACTAATCTACTGTCTGGCATGTGATCAAGAGCCATTATGGCTCTTGACTCATCAAAGTTGATTACTATCGTTTGGGTCCACATATAAGGCTATTAACTCATTGTCAGATTTGTTTCACTCTTGGAAAGTTAACAAATTATTTTTCTTTAAAATCATTTAGCCTTTCCCTCAAAAGTGTATTAATGGGAGCTTGGCTTTTAGCCCTGGCTAAATTTATATGTTAGGTTATATATCACTTTGTGAAAGGTGAAATCATGGCGAAACACACATTGAAACCTCCCATATTTGTGCAGACGTCTACCGACCTTTTTTATTCGACATCTGTTTTTATGTTCTTTCGGTGTTTGTTTGTTTTGCGATTTAGAGATTCTTGGCTTAAATAATTCTGTCATTGTGGGAAATAACTCAGAGTACTTGGCTAACCTAACCAACTGGATAAAACCTAAAAGAAGTGAAAGTGATTGGAAACTCTGCTGGAGAGCATCACGTGATGGCTGGAATGGCAGTCGATTCCATTCCTTATGTGACGAGAAAGGACCTACAGTTACTATTGTAAAGGTTGGAAAGTATATCTTTGGGGGCTACACTAGTTTATCATGGGGTAAGTATCACAGCTTACTTTAACCGAATTTAACGCTTCGGTTGCTTGTTATACATATGATGAACAGGCATAATTTTAGGCGTACGTAACACTCCATTCGCCACTTTCACATTGCCCATAATACTTGTCTTAAATTCCTCCTGGGTGTTACTGTCGTACCGCAAGAGAAAGCGAAAACAATGCCTATGCATTTTTTTGTACAAGTATATCTTGGGCAATGTGAAAATGGTGAATTTGAAAAAATAACGTTTTCGTTTGTAAACGCGTGCATTTTTGTAACTAGGCTATGGCCTTGGTCCAAATTATAACGATCAAAAACGGAAGTTTATGAAAACAAAAGTACCGTATTCGGAAACGCACTTGAATGTGGATTCCTTGGAAAACGCAGTTTCTCGCTTTATTGTGAAAGGGCAAAATCAAGATTTTGGAAACGCGGATGTCATAGCTGCTAACTTTGCATGACCTGGATTTGTGCATAACCATCAAACAGGAAGACGGAAAATTAAAAACAACAAGGATAGTCTACCTGGAACGAAAATTTATCACCAGATATACTTTTTTGATGGCTCGGTTAATGGACGCTTAAATTCGATGTGTGAACCCGGAGCATTCGCTTGGTTTATACTAGAACTAAAAAGCCAGAGGTTTCGGGAAACGCATTTAGTGAACATGCTGGCCTTACAGAGACCGTTTGTTGATTTTTTCTATTCTTTATTTAGGTTATGGTTGCTTCTTTCAGTACGATCCACAAGCCTTTTTGTTCTCGCTGGTAAACAAGCCAGGATGGGCACCTGTAAAGTTAAATCAGACAGCATTTTATGCCGGCTATTACCAAATGTATTCCATATACACCTGTTACTCTAGTGGTCCAACGTTTGGAGGAGGCCATGACTTGGGAATCCATCCTAGCTACAATTTATATTATACAAATCTCGGCTACACGTACAGTCCGCCGAGCGGCTACAGCTATGGAACCAGCTTTGCTCGATCATTTCTGGCGGGATCGTATTATTTCAATCCGGATGAAGTAGAAACGTTTTACGACACAACCTTTACATCACTAGGTAGGTTGGAGGATAGCGTTACTATATATTACATGCAGTTTTCCAGGAATTGAAAAAAGTAAGTAATCTATAAGCCAGTTTAAAAGTTGCATGGATTAATCAAAATACTTAAAGACGCTCCTAACAACAAATTTTCAACGTTTTGCTTTCATGTCAAAAACGTCTACTGAAAAATGGGGTTACCGTTCTTGCTTGCATGCGACGCGTAAAACCGAGGTCGTTAAATACACCTTAGTAAGTGTTTCTGGTATCTGTCATGCTATGCATTAAACATCGATATATAAGGAGGGTATAACGGACTGGCAAAATTTGTTGGCTGTAACGAGGTTTCGTTATATCAAGGCTCTTTTTGTCTTTGTTTTGTTGTTTTTTTTTTCTATCACTGGGGTAAACAAATTCGTTCGTTATACCGAGGACCTCGCTATATAGAGGTTCCTTATATCGAGGTTCCACTGTACCCACTTTTACTAATTGCAGTCAGGGAGGAAAAGTACTAAAACAAATTACTATTGCTGACGTCACGGTTAATTAAGGTAACAGGTTGCTACGGTTGGTCTAAAAAAGATGTTATAAATTCGTTAGGAAAATTCGCGCCAGGCTCATGATATTTATTGTAACGATTTGAATTTCAAATCTTCTGGAAGGAAACATAAGCGCGCCCTTAGTTGAGGAGACAATATAAACCTCAAGTGCTGACTACGCTATTTAAAAAATTTCCACAGCTGCAACAAGAACAATCAGTCCAAGTTACACAGCTTCATCTATTGCGTCCCCAAGTTTATCGCCATCAGTGAGTGCCAGTCAATCGGTTTCACCAAGCACTTCACCGTCAGTCAGTGCCAGCGTGCCACTCCTTTCATCAGGTGAGTTTGAGGAGTCTAAGACACCTCGCTTTTTGTGGAAGCTCGTTTAATTGAGCGAGCTACTAGATGCCATTTTTATAAGCGTTGTTGGAAACGAAGAAGAGTAGTTCAGTGAAACGCTAATTTTATAATTCATTATGAGCGGGTAACCAGTTGCTCAATGATGTTATAAGCAAATAAGCAAAAGTATTCAAGTTTAAGGAATGTTTCCCTCAGAATTACAGGGTTAAGGGGTGGGGGGAGCGGTGGTGGGGGGCAGGAGGAGTGAGGAGGCTGGATTCAACCAAAGGTTATACTTAGATATTTTGAAAAGACTTTGAGACAAAACCTCTTATTCTTAGTGGCTGTTCATGTTAATGCTAGACATATTTTATGATGATGTAAAGTTCATACATTTGAGCCGTAGGAGAAATATTCAACAAGATAACTTAATTATAAGCAATAACGAAAAGAAAGCCTGCAAAAAACGGAGATTTTTGGCAGAATTTGGGTGTCCGTTGGTTGATGCGATGACGAGATATGACGTGAGGTCAAGCAATTTATGCGCAAACTAGGCTTTTAAAAACTTAAAAAACGCATAGTTTTAAAACTGTTTGCATATTTTTAACAATATCAAGATGCATGCATGACAACCAAAGTGATTGACTTCACAGATCCCCGGCTGATTATCGACATACCTCATTGAGTTCTGCCGCTGATATCGTTTTGTAAAGCTTGTCACTTGCTACATGCAGTTGAACTTCTCTACAACGGCCACTTTGGAGACAGCTGAAGAAAGTGGCCATTGTTGAGAGGTGGCCGTTTAGAGAGGTTGAAACAAGAGTGAATGTAATGGCCTTTGTAGAGAGGTGGCTGTTAGAGGAGGTTCCACTGTATTTTACGTTCTACTTTGGTTTTTTTAAAATGTTATAACACACAGCAAAACCCAATGGAGATTGCAACACTATTACCAATCCTCTTGTGCTGACCCATATGATACGAGTACAAAAGTATGGAATTGCTTGTACCCATGTAATGCATCAGAGGGTTAACGCGTGGATATCCATAATTATAACTACTCTTAATAAGTTTTAATATTTCACTAGTTTTAATTTTACCGCTTTGAACACCTTTCTTGCCATACATCATTACAATGACTTCTGAAATCTTCATTTAGTGCGCTGTGATTAACCAGGTATTTTAGAGGGAAACGATCTACGAGAGTATTATAAACCAATAACAACTTGAGTCCTTGCAGAATAAAAGATCACAAGCCGCATAAATTTTTGCCACTAAAAAGGCCCAACCTCAGGAATGTCAAATTAATGTTGTAAAATAAATATAAAAGAAAGTGGTCCGAAATGAGGAAAAATAGTCATGATTGAGATGTACTATTTATAGTTTGTCTTGATTCCTCATGATTGCTCTTCTGACTGGTGAAGTAATATTTAGCTATTCGCCACCCACAAGTATGAACAGACTTATATAATCATGTAAAAGGAACGCTGGTAGGGACAAAGAAACAGAGTTAAATTTCGATTCAAAACTCCCTACAATACAAGAGCGAAACTATCGTTTTCGTCTCCTTTTTGCGTTAAATTACTTACGGTACCCCAATAATAGCATATTTTATTCAATTGCGAAACCAGAATGTTCAAACCACACATACCTGGAAGATTATAGAAGAGCCCAGGGATTTTACAATGGTCCTTCCGGTTATTACCAATGCGACAACAATCTACCCTTCGGCTGGTATCGTTTCCGTGGGCCAGCAGGAACACAGATGGCTTCCACCTGTGTTGGTGTAAATAGGTGTGGTTCACATGGCTCGGGCTGGCTAAGTACACAGCATCCTCTCGTATCTGATGGGATTGTGAACGCCACGGCGTGTTTTCACTGGGGTGGTAGCTGCTGCCTTTGGTCAATAAAAGTACGCGTCCGTAACTGTAGCGGGTTTTATGTCTACGAACTTAGACCAACATCTTCCTGCCATTACCGCTATTGTGGAGATGGAGAAGGTAGGTTTTACCGAAAGGACGTGCGCTATTCAGTAATGCAGATTTAGAGTAACGAAAATCTCTTTAAACCAGTAGCAAATTAAAAAAAAAAAAAACGGTTTCGCATAGGTTAATCATGGTCAACTGCGAAATGCTATGCGGTTATTCCCCTGTAAACGTGGTAAAAAAATAGAGCGCACGAACCCACGTGAAAACCATGTACCAAATTGTTAATTACGTTCGCATCTGTCGTGTATGTAATGTCTGTTTGAACATCATCCAAATTTTGCCTTATCTCGTTTTTCAAAAAAGTCCGAAAAACTAGCATTTTAGCTGAAATGAGCTCATTGTCATACCCCCGATGTCGTCATATCTCGTCGTCACAGCCACCGCGAGCTGTCACAAAATTTCGCCGAAAGTACAGAAGAGCAGAAGGTCTGGCTCAATGTGATTTCCAAAAACCGCCGAGTAAAACTTTAAGGGTGGGTGGCATTTACCCAGGGCCTTGCAACTTCTCAGCTTAGCAGTTTCCCTTGCCTGCATCGCATTCAAATGGTTAAGATGGTTTACTAGTGGAGGCTGATGTTGTTTGTCACAAACAATCTAACGTGCTCACAGGGCCTGCAGAACGCCTGAAACGGCACTCTAGGAATAACATTCGCAATTTTTATCCGTTTGAACTCAAAGTTTGCAGGGTGGTAGAACTTTTTATTCGAAACAATTGTATGATTTTTGTTGTTTGATTTTAACGGTTTCTGGCGGGAAAATGGGGTCACAAGATTAGCAGCAAAATTTCAATTTCAATTAATGATAACAAAAAGGCTATCTTGAACTGAAGAGCATGGCGAGATAGAATCAAATGGGAAATTTTTCTGAAAGCTCATTTGGTTAAGAAATTATTGAGCTTTGATTTTTGAATTTCCCACCATTTTGTTGCTATTTTTAGAAAAAAAAGCGCCTTTCAGAATGCTGTATCTCTTAAAGCAATTTAAGTTTTCAAAAAATTTTTTCACATCTGATTCTATACCGTTATGCTCTTTCAAAATTACGTATTTGTTAAATCATTAGCTGAAATTAAAAATTTACGTGTCAATCTTGTGACGTCATTTTCCCGCCAAAAACCGTTAAAATTGAAAAACAAAAATCTACCATTCTACAAACTTTGAGCTCAAATGGATGAAAACTGCAAACGTTACTCCTAGAGTGCCGTTTCAGGCGTTCTGCTAGCCCGGAGTGAACAGCTTTACTACTCCAAACAGTAAAACGCATGCTCTATTTAGGCAATGTTTTTTAAGTTACATTCTGATTTATAAACTAGAAGTATTTTTCAATTTTCACTTAACATTTCTACAATTAAATGTGATTAAAATGTTCACTATACAGTAAAAACTCAGGTTTTCTCCTACTTCCAGCTATTTGGTCCGAGCTCCTGGCAACTCGAACTCCCGATAACTAGAACTTTTTTCAATTTCCCTTGAAGGTTCGGGTCATCGGGAGTCGACTTTATTTTGTCTACATAATTTGTCCTTCATCATAGCGAGACCCACGAATTTCTGATTGAATTGCAAGTTGTTTTAGCGAAGAAAACCTAAACGAAACGTAGCATAAAACAAGGGCTAAAGCAAAGGGGCCAAAACAAACAACGAACTCTCATTTAAACGTCGCTGCCTTTTAAGTCTTCGCCATTGTCATTGGGGTTCTCTCTTCTTCTCGGTCTCTCCTCCCATCGCGCCATTTCTACAACGGTACCTCTTTTAGCAGAATAAATTGAAATAATCCTTTTGTCTTTCTTGATCTAGCTGCCAGCTATTCACTTTCAAGCTCCACTGGTGTTAGGGGTAAGTTCAGGTGGACATGCTAATACAGCGGTTAAATAGCTTGATTTTCGCAGTTAGTTAGTAGCCAAGCAACTGAAGGGACTCAAGGCCCCCCTTTAATACTGACAGGGTTTAGCAACTCTCGCTTCCGCAGAGACCTCTTCGTGTAGTAGGGAGGCTGGGGAGAGTATTACTATTTTTATTGGGATACCCAGCGGGAGCCTCTGTACGTGGAAGAGAGAGCTAGATTCAGCCACATTCTTATTTTTCAACTTTTGGGTGCAATATTATCATAGTACACTCAGTAAGTATACCATGTCAGTATTTTTTACGTCTTACTATGGACTTCTTTTACAAAAACTCTTCTCAGGAAATTTAGCTTTCGGAGAAGAGTGTTACTCAGTCAGTCAGACACTCCTACAATCAATCAGACAGTCATAGTTAAGGAAAATATAGAAGAAAGGGACATCAGTTTGCACCTAATTCCCGGAGTCCAACGCTCCACGTTCTACTCTTCTATTGCTCGCTACTTACAGTAATACGCTTACTAAGTCCTTTCTCGAAAAGGACTTAGCTTCATGCCCTACAACAGTCATTTCATGTTCCTACTCTGTTGCGTAACATCCTTGACTATAATCATAATGATTATATTTGTAAATGTTTCTTTTTTTAACATCTAAAGAGAAATTTTGCCAGTGCGAAGAAGAGAAGAAACGCAAATGAAGCAAGAAAATAAATTATTTCATTTCACGACATCCGAGGTTCCCCTAACAGCCTCCACCCCCGCTCTATTCTCTGCGGTTTCCGAGGATCGGGAACCTCTTCCAGAATTAAAGACGAACTGTTGTTAAATTGTTTCGTTTAACAGCTAGCCAAATTACACCCTCTTCATCGTCTGGATATTATGTACCATCTAGTTCGTATGCACTACCTGCTCCTGTGGACTTCCAGTTTCATGTGCCTTCAGACTGTGACCAAATCTGTGCCAACACGCCAGGAAGCTACAGGTGTTCATGTGTCAGTGGATATCAATTGTCCTCCGATGGCAAATCATGCGTAGGTAAGTTAGCATGGTAAAATGTGTGATAAATCTGCCTTAAAATCAATTTGTTTCTCAAAATACAAATGTGACAACTAAAGCGTCGCGCCTGCGTCGGGCATATTCTATATGAGAGACGAAAACAATGCTACAGCGTATACTGCAATGACCGCAGAGGCAATTCGCAACGAACAGAGTGCTCCAAGATTCGAGTGCTGAGTTAGAATACTTGACTTGTGTCACGTGTTGAACAAGTATTAACTATTATTCATTCATTCAAAATCTTTCGCCGTTTCTAATTGGGTCCAATCCCCCAGCTAATTCTTCAAAAACAACTACAGGCGCTTACCATATTTGCATGATGCCAGTATTATACAATAGATTCAATGGTATAAATCATGATCTTGCAGTTGTACGTGAAGGAACTTTTCTGTAATGGCCCTCTTGATCTACGACATTTCCTAAGGTGTAGTTGAATTAGTTAAGACTCGAAACTAACCGTCTCTTTCTGCATCGAATCAATTATGAATTCTTAGTTTAATTCGTCATCTTTCCGTGAATGTCTATGTGTCAGAGAAGTAGACTGCTTTTTAGGGTAAAAATCCGTTAAAAATGGGTAATTATACCATTTTTTAGATGTTCGAAAATCCTAGGAGAGGCAGGGAAGCAAGACATTTTGCAACAAATGTTCCGAAAATTCTAGATCTCAAATCGTCTTCCGAACAGATATTTTCCGAAAATTGACGTTATTCAGCTCGCGGTCCGGAGCACAGGTAATAGACACCTCTAGAATTAGGGTTTTCATGGGAAACTGCAAACCGCGAACTTCAGTTTGCAGTTGCAGTTACGTTACACTTCACGTTGCCGGGGTTTCAAATTTAAGCAAGGGCGTCATTGTTTAGTGCCGCCATGTTGTTTTTCGTCAAATTCAAAGTGCATCAATTTTATCGCCCAAAAAAGAGGGATAATTCATAAATTCGAGTTCAAAAATCCAACAAGCGCATCGCAGACGGATAAAGAAAGCTGCTTCGTGCCTTTAAACGTGAGGCTGTACAATTTTTAGCGGCAAAAACCCTTGCCGAAGTCACTTAAAGCAGGATGCCCTTCCTGCCGTTTAAACGTGAACTGCAAACTGCAAACGCGACCGCAAGGGCGTGGTCACGTGACATTCTCAGGTTTCCCTTTTGCGGTTTTCCATGAAAAAAAAACATGATACTAGAAGTCTCCAATATTTAGGTCAAGAATAGACGACCTAAAATTTGCCTCCCACTGCCAAAACAATTAAGGTAGTATTTGCTGCATTAATATTATCTGCGCCTATTTTTGTTACGTATGAGTGGAATTCATGATTTGCTTGTTGTTTGCCACTGGCCACTTGAATCAAAAGCATTCTGGTTGTTGTTGAGGTTATGACCTAAATAGAAGTATTTTTTATAGATATGGACGAATGTTTGACCAACAATGGTGGCTGTAGCCACCATTGCTACAATATTCCTGGATCATTTTATTGTGGATGCCCGGAAGGTACAACAATGGCCAGCAATAATTTGACTTGTATTGGTAAGTATGGTTGGCTTTCATAACTTGCAAAATTAATTCTGATCGAAGCCAAGAGTAAAGTGGAAATTAGCGTATTTTGATAAGATAATTTCTGTAATAAAAACTGATTTTTGATGTTTCGCTTATTTCAGAACCCGGCGTTTCAGTTGCATGTGACGAGAACAACATGACCGTTTCGCTGGAGAAGCAAACGTTTCCATTTTTCAACGTCAGCAGTTTACATCTACGTTATTCTTCATGCAGGTAGTCTATCATTTTAGTACTGAATAGAATAACTCAACACTGAATTAACTGCCGCCCGGTTAGCTCAGCTGGGAGAGCGCCGGTCTGCCTAGCGGGAAGTCTCGGGTCTGTTTGACAAACAGCCAGGGTCTTTTAAAACAAATGGTGAGATCGTGCCTGGCTGTGGATAAAGATATTGCCTCTCTTCAGATGCTCTCATCATTGGTCGGTGACGTTAAGGCGGCGTTGGCCTTGTCCTCCTTCTTTCATTGTCGGGTCAAATCGAAGGAGACGTAGTCCTACTGTTCGAAAGAGTAGACCGGTGGTGTAGTCTACCTAGTCATATCATGGGCTATGGGTGCCGTGGGTTACAGTAAGCTCATAAATGGACTAATATTGGCTGACGTCCGAGCTTACTGTTAACATGTTAATATAAAACGTTCAAAAACTCACCAACAATTCATAAAAAAAAGGCAAATGAAATTGATGTGTAATGAGTGTCTTTATATCTGATACGGCTAAACTCCAATAAAGTCCAATATTTTAGACCAAAATGACCCAAATCTAAACTAGTGCAAGAATGAGTTGATCTATATCAGAGATTTTGAAGCCGTTCAAAAAACTCGAGTCGTTTAACATTAAATATTAACTAGGAAGTAATATTTAAAAAAAAACTCGCACTCGTGTATTATCAGGTTTAAAAACTCGAGATGAACCTGGGAGTTTTTAAACCTGATAATACACGTTTGTCCTCTCATCCACGACATGTCATTCATTCATTTTTACTTGCTGCCATCTTCTAGCCTCCCACGCAGGCCTCTTTAGGGGAGCTTGTATTTCGTCCCTCCCCACAAGCATTATATCGAACGTTTTTAAAACTAAATAGGAGCTTAGAAAAGCCATTTCCTACGTTTTCGCGAGACATTTTCAGTAATCAAATACGAAGGAGAATACAATAATCAGTTGTTAAATTTACGTATACATCTCTAGTGTTATCGGTAATAATTTGTCTTTACTTGTTGTCCATAGAGCTACCGAGAATTTCACACACTTTTTAATCAGTACTCCTTTAAATTCCTGCGGAACACTGGTGAATGAAACGGAGGATGCATTAATCTTTTGGAATGAAATCCGAGCAGATGCAGTGATTATTGACAATGTTATCACCCGGACACACGATATAAAATTTAAATTTTACTGCAGCTACTCCAGAAGGAAGATGTTAAGCATTCAATTCCAGCCCCGACATATCTTCATTGGATCAGAGGGTACTTGAATTATGCTTTCTTCATTTTCTTTTTCTCAAAAAGAAAACATTGACATTGGAAATTTTAGACTTAACTTTTTTCCTCGATTTGGCACTAGCGTGCCCAATGCCCACTATCGTTATAGGGTCTGTGTGAGTTAGACGTTTTGCTTTAGAATACATCACGAGTCGGTCGACAGTCTTTCAGTCTGCTTAATCTCCTTAAAAAAGGTAACGTAAATCTAATCTGGCACTGAAATGTCATAGGTCTCGCTAAGACTACCCTAAAGTTATTAGACTTACCTGAGACAAAACCTTCGTCTTTCCCATCACATAGTTGAAAATATTCGACCGCGCCTTTAAACAACAAGAGAACAGGTCTACATTGAGCTACATTGATCATGCTCGGGAAAACTGTACTAAATGTCCGAAGGATGTTTGACAGAGTTCATTCTACAGTAGAACTCCGGTAAGGGAACTCTGAAGGCAAACAAAAAACAGTTCGAGTTAGCGAGGGTTCGAGTCATCGGAGTCGATTGCAAAATTAAATTTTCATTGTTAAAAATTGATAGTTACTGATTTTTCAGCACTGTAGTGTATAATGCCACTGCAGTGCAAGTTTAATAGCTTATTTTATCAGAAACGGTAACATTATTTAGGCATTTTTTACTAAAAAACCTCAGCTGAAACGTGATCTGTTCGTTACACCACTAAAATAAAATTGCTGTAAGCGTTAACCAGTGTATGTTAGATTATTAATAAGTGTTTTCACTGATTACACAACAAGAAGAGCTAATAGAATGTTATCCGAGTAGAGTTACAAGAACCAGGAAACGAGTTATCGGGTATTTTTCAGTGACTTATTGATCAAGGGAAAGGAAATTGAGTTTAAGTTAGCAGGGAATTCTAATTATTCGAGTTCAAGTTAACCGAGTAAAAACGACTGAAAAGTGGGGTGAAATCCAAGGGACTTTCGAGTTATCCGTGATTTCGAGTTATCGGGGTTCCACTACTGTATTTCCAAACCAAAAAGAAGGCTTTTTAAGCAATAGACCACACTTACTATGGGTTTACCGGCGTGATAAACCACTTGAGATTTTGGGAGAACAGTATCCAAAAGCTTGTAAATCACGAGGCGAAAAATTGCTTTTATAAAATAACTTTAAGTTTTCTATGAGTTTGCTGGCACAATAAACCATAGGTTTTAACCAATCAGAACGAGCGTACTATCTCACTTATTTTATAAATTAATGATATTTTGCTTCCTTCTTAGCTGGATATGGGAATTTCACTTTCAAAATGGACTTTTACAAGACTGCAGCATTTGCCACTCCCTATACGGAGAACGACTACCCGATATTGGTCGCGTTAAATGAGTATCTTTACGTGAAGTACAGTGTGGAGTCCAGCGCTAGCAATCAGCTAGTGATAATGGCCGAAAACTGCAAGGCCACAAGATATGGAAGTTTCTACTCCTGGCCTTATTATAACATTATACAGAATGGGTGAGTGCAACATATGTCTAGGATTTAGGTTTCAAGAATTCCCTCATTTTCCACGGGGGAAGTTGAGCGAGCGAAATACCTGAGTGCTTGTGAAATTGCCACGCGCGGGAGAAATGCGAGACACGTTGCACCTGCCTTGCGGTTGGTGATTTTCACGCGCTCTCGCATACTTCGCTCGCGCTTATCATCACTAAGGAAGTACCTGTGGTCTATTTCCGTATCGTCTTAATTCGTGTTGATCCTTACGCATGATGTACGTCGTTTTTCCGGGTATTTGATCCTCAATGATTGCGGGCCGCATTTTCTTGAACAGCGACTGGAAATCGAGCCTCCTTAATCCTTTACAGGGCTCAGAAGTTTGATATCATCATAGAAGCGACGACCGGAAATACGTCTGCGCTTCGCAGGCTACATTCGCAACTGCTATAGTAACAAAAATTGTGCTTCAGCGCTGAACTAGACTAGCCTTTGCGACGGAGTTAATCTTCATCGTTGTTTATACTCTTGATGTCAGATGGGGGGATAAGTTTGAGCGGATGAACCCCCAGAAAAATCCATAGCATTAAAACTACTGATACGTTAATTTATTTTTTATTTACATTTTACACTAGTTGCGAGCAAGATACAACTATGGAGTACACGTATAATCCATTAGCGAGCTCCCAGAAGCTTAAAATTAGATCGTTCAGGTTCTTTAACGACTATGACGTTGTTTACTTTCACTGCGAGTTGTTGGCTTGTTACAAAGGCAATTCTAATTCCAGGTAAGTCTATTGTAAACCCTCCATGTTACACCGAAGAAGAGGCAGTTCTTCTAAACTGCAGAAAACCGAATAAAACTCTACCGTAATTCCATTCTTGTTTTTTATTGCAATGTTCTGGCTGTATTTAGCATCTTAAAGGTCATAAGCTTGGTAAACAGGCAACTGTAATGACAAGACCCTTATTACCAAGAAGTTATAAAAATAGAACGAACGAACATATCTTGAAAAGACAGGGGGCGCTTACCATTTACAAAAACCACCCAAGTGGAAATCTTGTGTATAAACATAAAACTATAAAACTTGACGTGGCGGGAGAACTACCCGCTACAAAGTAAATCAAAATCAACTGAACTGACTTAAAAGAGTAGAAAAATTGCATCGCCTCAAATCACAGCCCATATTTTCTGAAGGTTTCCAAACGGACTGGCGCGAATTGACCATTTCATTTTCCAACCAGAATTTTCGGTTTTCCCATATAAATGGTAAGTACCCAGGATCTCCACTCTCTAAAGGACGGATAGTTTGCCGTAGCAAAATTTTGAGGGACAAATTAGATGTATTTGGAAGATGTACAAGTGGCGAGTATGCGTAGATATGACTGAAGCTGAAAAAAAAATCGATGATTTTTAAACCGAAGGTTTTGTTTATAGATGCAGCAGGGGTTGTTTGAGCAGCAAAAGAAGAAAGAGACGAGGTGCAGTTGACGACGAAATAGAACACGAGGAAAGTACTAGCAAACATATTCTCTCCAGCGGCCCAATAATGATCAAGGAGACTGAGACGGAGACGGAAGAACGTGATGAAGGAGGTATGACGTATGGACAACTAAATATGTTGACAGTAGTTTTAAGTGAAGGGAGAGAGGGTTGCCCACAAATTCCAAATTCCAAGTTTCCCACTTGCCCACTTTATAGTTAAAGGTGGAAACGAGGCTGGAGGTGACAGTCAGGAGTGCCTTTTTTGTATCAAACAAGTTGAGGTCAACCTCACGTTCACTCAAAGGCTAGGATGCTAAGCGCAAAACCTGTAAATTGGCAGGAGCCCATAACCCAGAGCGAGTTAAAAGATATTCTAAATTCGCACTAAAATGGTTCTAAAAATAAACTTATCGGTAAAAACGCCATGACACCAGGACATGGAAGTTGCTCGTTCTAGTTTATGGATTTCTGTTGGCCAAGTGCCAAGTGGAGGTAGGCCGTGGTTGCTTGTTACGTTTCTCTTTTATGAACAGAAACTATAGGCCGGGAGGATTAATAAAAGCTAAGCTAGTATACAGAGAAAATAAACGGTCATTATTCCTGGAATATATCTTTAGAAGAAGCATTTGAGATTTGCCGGAGCTAGTTCTCAGAAGAACACAAAACTTAACCATAATTGACCTGGAGAAAAATAAGATCGAACAAATTTTTATTGGAAACTCCGTGACTACGGGATTTGCTACGTTAACACTTATTTACATCATCAATATGGAATTTTTGTCGCTGAGGCGCAGACGTCCCTCTTGTCGAAACGACCTTAGCGGCGGGGAGCGAGGAGAGGCGGGTGTTTTCGCTATGTGTCTGTTTTATCGCAGAAAATTTGGGATCAGTATAAGTTTCTGGGAATCTGCCCACCTACACCTCCCCTAAACCAACATTTTACCTTAAGTGAGAATTAAGTGCTAATGTTTGTGAAGGGGAGGGGTAGGTGGGTATGTGCATAGCTGCTGGCCACCTGATTAAAAACGCTTTATAGTTTTTCTCCTTCTCTTTCATATTGGTTTTAGACTTAACCTAGCTTAACCTAGGATTAAATTTAACCCGGGTTTCTTTTTCTTTTGTTGCGCATTTTCTCGGACAATTTTCTCTGTTATGTTTAAGAGCATCCAATCTAGACTTGCGGACAAAAAGAATTAAACTGAATTGACTTTTTAAGCCTTCATATCTGAATTCAAATTTGGCACCGGGGTTATCTTAACCAGCTTTGAACAACCCGGCCATGATTAAAAACGCTCTATAGTTTTTCCTTCTCTTTCATATTGGTTTTAGACTTATCTACTAATCGAAGTTTATTTTTTCCTTTGTGGTAGATACTGGAAAAAGCAAACAAACTGCTTTGATTGGTGGTGCAGCAGCCGCGGGAGGACTGTCCCTAATTGTTATCATAGCCTTGGCTGTTTTAGCCGTTAAGTACCGCATTGCACGAAGATTCATGAACAGGAACAAGGTCGGAGACTTGTACACTACCCAAGATGAACAGATGAGTCGAAGAAATGCCTACATCCAAGAGGACGACATGATCGAAAGGGAAGACTCCTTCTAAAATGAATCCTTACGTTGAACACTTATCTCGTACCTAGATCCCTTCAAACAAGCGATCTGGGTGTCAGTCGCTGAACACGCACTAATACTCTTATAAGCTAATTTTTTGATTGTTTTCACCTAATATGTCGAACGCTAGCGCATATTCACGCTACTTTTTTAAGTACAGTCATTTTATTAACCTTCTTTAGCAGGGAACAGGCCTAAGACGCTCAGACATATTCATACAAGATAGGCAGAAGTTGTGAGAAGTTCTCTAGCTATGTGACTCAAACCAATAGAATCGTCCTTGATAAACGGCTGTCCGTATCACTGCTCTAAATATATCCTAATGTCGAGGTTCCACTGTGTTAACTGTGTTCACATTTAAAGGAAGGTTGCCAGTGACGAATCCTGAAGCCGAGCTCGTTAAGCGTCTTGAAAGTTGTCGAAGTTTCTTTCATTTTGCAGGTTAAGTCAAAGTTCTTAGAAAAGCACTATTCACTGAAAATATTTATTTTAAGTTTTTATGTTTCATCAAGCACTTTAAAATTTTAACTCACTCACTGAATGCGTGGATCGAGGCTGGCTAGGCAATACTAATTTTTGCAACATTAATAGCACCTGAATAACACAGTAGAATGCCAAAAGCTGCAACTCCTTAGCAGTTTAACCATTTAGCTTGCCAGATCCCAACAGTTACAGTCACTACACCATACGAAAACGTTTTCGGTCAAAGTTAATGTTGCCTGCTTCTTAAGTTGTGGCACTGTATTTTGTTTATTGTTGTTATGGTGATATCCATTTTACTAAAAACTGCATTTTGGCAAACTTCAATTCATGGTTCGTCAGTAGTGAAAATCTTATAGCGAACGAAAGGAAAAAATCATGTTTAAAGTGACTGAAAAGTACCGGTGTGGCCGCAGAAAAACTGTATGGAAACACCTTTAATAAAAGGCATCGCAACATCACTTTATTAACATTTAAACGTTTGCATTAACTTTTATATTAACTACGTGTGAATCATCTCTAGGAAATGTTAATCATGTGCTGTACAATAGTTTTTAACTGGACGCCTGTGTTCACACTGTTTGATCGATGGTGTTATTTTCAGTGCTCCGAAGTCAGTAGTTGCATGATTACAGTAGCTGATAAGAGCCTTGAGAGGCCAATAAAAGTTATTTTGTATTCAATCACTGATCTACAGTTCTGCTACTAAGTGTGATACCCCAAGCAGGTTTGTTTAGGACTACTTCACTCAAGATCTCTGCACGGGGAAGGGGGGGCACAATTGCGTGACCGTACGCGTCGGTATGTTTTAGGTTCTTAGAGGAAATGTAGGGGAATATCAAAAAGGTTCTCATTATCGTTACATACATGTACTGGAATGAATGCTCACATACAGACCACTACAATCGTTTGTTATCTGAATGGTGTGTATTGCCACTGTCATTTTCGCAACTGAAAAAGGGCGACGGAATTTTTAACTAGTGTGCGTTTGACGTTCACCTATAAGCAGAGGTACAAACATCGAGCCCAACACCCTTGAAATCACGTTTTTGAACTACCAGCACAAAAAATTTCCACGGCTTGAGCCTGAGGTGTGTGTTTGAGGTCTGCCCAGCGGACATACGACTTTTCCAGACCAATCACTTAAAATGATTTATACGCGTGCAGGTCGTAAGAGGTGTCTACTAAATTCAGCTTGGTTTAAGACAAGACGAGCGCAATCGTTTCATTGAAACTGTTACTAAGTATTTCAAACGCTAAAAGCTGATAAGTTTACTGGACTAACAAAGAAAGCGTACAAACAGCCCAATAAGAATATTACTAAGTGCAATCTCACGATAATAAGAGCGCCCTCTATTAGTTGGAAACTCTATTTTGTAGAAAATGATTCCGAGTGTACTAAAATACGGAGTGGAATGAGATTAAGAATCACGACCAATCCAAACGGCAATTGTACCACGTGACCGAGTTTCACTTATCATATCGTAGCTTCCTGTTCATCAAATACATATTTATTCATACATGTAATCCATAATTCTTTTGCGCAGTTTGACTGCTCATTTCTTAACCTGACAAAAATTTCTTTGCCAACTTGAACGTGATTCACATTCTACTCCAACTGAAAAAAATATATATATTAGTTAGCACATGGTGCAAACACTATGATTCTCCCAATATGAGATACATTTGCAAAATATACCTACGTTAAAAATATAACAAAGTGTACATTCATTGATTAAAAGGAAGTACAGATTGCTTTGAACCCGGATTGGCAGAAGTCATTATTCTAAAATACAAAAAGACAAAAGAGTGCAGTACACAAATAAAATTAAAACTACCATTGATACAAAAACAAAAAAGTCCGTTAGTGTAAAGAAGATTGGGCGATCCAAAAAGTGAGGCACAAAATAGATGCCAGTTCCTCGGCCGACAGGGCCCCTGAATACAATAGTTGTCTGGGGCAAGCTAAAGAGGCGTACAATAAAAAGAAGTGTCTACGAAAGACCTAATTTATAGGAATGTGCTATTCAATTGTAACCACTATCTACGCTGCAGTTTTCCCTTTCGTAAACGGTCGCTGCCAATTTTTTGGAGAGTGTTTCTATTAAAAATAAAGAAGATCGTAATCCAGGGTCGAACTCGGACCTCGAACTAGGGCATTTTGTATCCTAGTCTCTGGCTCCCCTACCACTCAACCACCATACCAACCCCCAAAATTCTGAAACATTTAAGTACATAAACTAGCCAACTGTGTCTCTTCACGTACTGTTACATCACGGTAACAGGTTACCCTAGCCCTTTTTAAAACTTTTAGCGTAAAATCAATCTGGGCTTCAACGTCGTTCTGTCTAAGTCTATTCAAGAACGTATTATTTGCTTTATGGTAAATTAATCCAGGGAATATATAACATCTATCATGACTCAAGGCTTGGTCATCGACCGCTAAAAATGGCAACGACCGTTTACGAGAGAGAAATAGGCTACGCCGCTATTTTACGAATAAAGATTATTACTTGCACCAGTGATACAGTAAAAATTCACATATAAGAACCTAGAAGTTTTGAGGTTATGCTGAACAGGTGGCAGTTTTTCACAATTCAGGCAGATGAGGTTTTTAGAATATATTAGCTTCTTATTTTTCAGAGGATGTCGTAGTGTAACTATTGGCAAAAATATTGTACTACTACTACATAATGGTTTATGGAAAACATATTTCTAGTGAAAATCCAAACAAACGTAAATCAAAGAAAACATATACACAATAACTTTGGTAGAAGTTTCTCACACAATTAAAATCCAGAATTTTGACCATCATTTGTCAGTTATAAGAACCTATTCTTCTTTGCCAGGCTGAACAGGTTTTTATACTGATTTTTGGTAGCCTGCGTAGCAGGCGCTGGGAAGTAGTGGGCACAAGAAAAAACGTGCGCGCGAGAAGGAGACACGAGTGTCTCCCTCGCGAACGCCCGCTCTCTCTTTCACCCACTACTTCCAAGTGCCTGCTATGCAGGCTAGTCATAGGTCTCGCTAAGACTACCCTAAAGTTATTAGACTTACTTTAGACAAAACCTTCGTCTTTCCCATCACAAAGTTGAAAATATTCGACCGCGCCTTTAAACAGTAAGAGGACAAGTCTACAGTGAGCTACATTGATCATGCTCGGGAAAACTGTAAATGTCCAAAGGATTTTTGACAGAGTTCCTTCTACAGTAGAACTCCGGCAACTCGAACTCTGAAGGCAAACGAAAAACATTTCGAGTTAGCGAGGGTTCGAGTTATTGGGGTCGGTTGCAAAATTTTCATTGTTAAAAATTGATAGTTACTGATTTTTCAGCACTGCTGTGAATAATGCCCCTGCAGTGCAAGTTTAACTTATTTTATCTGAAACGGTAACATGATTTAGGCATTTTTTTTTTTTACTAAAAAACCTCAGCTGAAACGTGATCTGTTCGTTACACCACTAAATTAAAATTTCTGTAAGTGTTAACCAGTGTATGTTAGATTAAGTGTTTTCACTGATTACACCACAAGAAGAGCTAATAGAATGGCATCCGAGTAGAGTTACAAGAACCAGGATACGAGTTATCGGGTAATTTTCAGTGACTTATTGATCAAGGGAAAGGAAACTGAGTTTAAGTTAGCAGAGAATTCGAGTTATTCGAGTTAACGTTAACCAAGTAAAAATGACTGAAAAGTGGGGTGAAATTCACGGGACTTTCGAGTTATGCGCGAGTTCGAGTTATCGGGGTTCTACTTCTGTTACAATATTTCCATACCAAAAAGAAGGCTATATTAATGACATTTTGCTACCTTCTTAGGTGGATATGGGAATTTCACTTTCAAAATGGACTTTTACAAAACTGCAGCATTTGCCACTCCCTATGCGGAGAACAACTACCCTATATTGGTCGTGTTAAACGAGTATCTTTACGTGAAGTACAGTGTGGAGTCCAGCGCCAACCTGGTGATCATGGCCGAAAACTGCAAAGCCACAAGAGATGGAAGTTTCTACTCCTGGCCTTATTATACCATTATACAGAATGGGTGAGTATAACATATGTCTAGGATTTGGGTTACAAGTCTTCCCTCATTTTCCTCAGGGGAAGTTGAGCGAGCGAAATACGTGAGCGCTTGTGAAAATTGCCACACGCGGGAGAAGCGAGACGCGTTACACCTGCCTTGCGGTTGGTGATTTTCACGCGCTCTCGCATATTTCGCTCGCTCTTATCATCACTGAGGAAGTACCTGTGGTCTATTTCCGTATCGTCTTCGTGTTGATCCTTAAGCACGATTTACGTCGTTTTTCCGGGTATCTGATCCTCCATGATTGAGGGCTGCATTTTCCTCAACAGCGACTGGAAATCGAGCCTCCTTAATCCTTTACAGGGCTCAGAAGTTTGATATCATCATTCGCAACTGCTATAGTAACATAAATTGTACTTCTGCGCTGAACTCGACGAGCCTTTGCGAGGGAGTTAATCTTCATCCTGGAGTAGAGTTTATACTCTTGATGGTGGATAAGCTTGGGAGGAGCGCCCAGAAAAATCCATAGCATTAAAACTAAAATACGTCTATTTTTAATTTACATGTTACACTAGTTGCGAGCAAGATACAACTATGGAGTACACGTATAATCCATTAGCGAGCTCCCAGAAGCTTAAAATTAGATCGTTCAGGTTCTTCAACGACTATGACGTTGTTTACTTTTACTGCGAGTTGTTGGCTTGTTACAAAGGCAGTTCTAATTCCAGGTAAGTCTATTGTAAACCCTGATGTTACACCGAAGAAGAGGCAGTTCTAAAACCGCGGAAAACCGAGTAAAACTCTACTGTAATTCCATTCTCGTTTTGTATTGCAATGTTCTGGCTGTATTTAGCATCTTAAAGGTGATAAGCTTGGTAAACAGGCAACTGTAATGACGAGGCCGTTATTACCTAGAAGTTATAAAAAAAAAAGAACGAACGAACATATCTTGAAAAGACAGGATCTCCACTCTCTAAAGGACGGATAGTTTGGCGGTAGCAAAATTTTGAGGGTTTATGGCAGATGTACTAGTGGCGAGTATGCATAGATGTGACTGAAGCTGAAAAAAAATTCGATGATTTTTAAACCGAAGGTTTTGTTTATAGATGCAGCAGGGGTTGTTTGAACTGCAAAAGAAGAAAGAGACGAGACGCAGTTGAGGACGAAATATGACATGAAGAAAGTACAAGCACACATATTCTCTCCAGTGACCCAATAATGATCAAGGAGACAGAGACGGAGACGGAAAAATGTGATGAAGGAGGTATTACGTATAGACCACTTAATATGTTGACAGTAGTTTTACTGAGTTTGGCCGCAAATTCCATGCAAGTTTCCCATTAGCCCACTTTATTGTTGTAGCTGGAAACGAGGCTGGAGTTGAACTGTACCATTTATACGAGCATGTCTTATCTAAGACGAGAAAAGCTCGTATGAATGGTGCGCGTCTTATTTCTGTTCTTGACTCGTTTTCGTGTGAATGTTGCCCTTAGCAACGGCAATCCAACGTGGCGCGCCAAAAATTAACGCATGCATACTATGCGTTCGCGTCTTATGTGAGACGCGAAGGTCATTTATAGGAAGTTTTTCTCGTCTTAGCTAAGACGCTTCTTATCTAAAAACAGGTGTTAAGGGCTGTTCTAAAATAAGACGCGTCTTAGCTAAGCCGCGTCTTATTTAAGACGAAATATGCCGTTTATACGGAAAGTTCGCGTCTTATTTAAGACGCGTCTTATTTTTCCTCCTATAAATGGCCCTAATGTTGGTTTAGGGGAGGGGTAGGTGGCTAGTTTCCCAAAAACGTATATAGATCCTAAATTTGCATAGCTGCTGGTCACCTGGGCCCAGTTCTTCGAAGGACGATCAGCGCTTAACCTATAGGATTAAATTCAACCCGGGTTTCTTTTTCTTTTGTTCCGCATTTTCTAGGACAATTTTCTCTGTTATGTTTAAGAGCATACAATCTAGACTTCTGGACAAAAAGAATTAAACTGAATTGACTTTTTAAGCCTTAATATCTGAATTCAAATTTGGCACCGGGGTTATCTTAACCAGCTTTGAACAATCCGGCCATGATTAAAAACACTCTATAGTTTTTCTTTTTCTTTGATATTGGTTTTAGACTTATCTAATAATCGAAGTCTATGTTTCCTTTGGGGCAGATACTAGAAAAAATCCAACAAACTGCTTTGATTGGTGATGCAGCGGCCGCGGGAGGACTGGTCCTGATTGCTATCATAGCCTTGGCTGTTTTAGCTGTTAAATACCGCATTGCACGAATATTCATGAACAGGAACAAGGTCGGAGACTTGTACGCTACCCAAGATGAACAGATGAGTCGACGAAATGCCTACATCCAAGAAGATGACATGATCGAAAAGGAAGACTCCTTTTAAGTTGAATCCTTACGTTGAACACTTATCTCGTACCCAGAACCCTTGTCGACAAGACATCTGGGTTAAATTAAACACGCAAGCGCCTTATAACTTTACAACTCATTGAAGTGTATTCTTCAAGAATAATTGGCGTAATAGTCGATGTAACTGATTCTTTGATAGTCACGTAACGTGGCAAACGCTAGCGCATATGCACGCTAGTTTCCATAGTACATCAGCTAATTAACTTCCTTCTGAATACGATCAAGAAAGGGAGCAGAGTTAAGTGTCCGCAAATTGCGCTCACACATCCTAATAAGAGACACAGAAGTTTTAAGAAGGCCACTAGATTTAGTATGTACACCTGTATACACGACGTGATCTCAACTGAATTAGAAAGGAAACCATTAAAAAAACGATTAGTTTGGTTGACGAGTTAATTCATGCTGGGACGGAGCCGTAAACAGTAGATGCGCAAACATTAGTGAGATCTTTACAGTATTTTCAAACATAGCAAATCACAGCCTATGATTAAAATGGTTTAAAAGACCACGTCCAGAAATAAAATTACAACCCCTTGTGGGTAGAGCTTTATTTGCTTCTGTCAACTCACCGTGAATGAGTAAGTTTTTTTTTTTTTTGGTCGCTTCTTGAAAAAACTGTCAACAGCGGGTACTATCGAAGTGAGCGTTGTTTATCTGTATTGTCCTTTGCCTTATTAACTTGCTGGCACGTACAGTTTTCGAAAATATTTGCTTTCCTTTTTTTTCCGTAAATTGACTTCTGTTTCTATGCAAATTTTGTCTTTCGAGGAAATCCCGAGTTCACAAAACAGTGACACAACGGCCTTGTTCTCCTCTGCAGTGGTAAAGATTTCTTCGAGCCTATAAAAGTAAAGTCAGCTACCCTAAAATCATGCTGTTTAAACACCATCAGCCTTGAGAAGTCTTTTCTTACCTTCGACACTAGGAACAGGGGGCATTTTGCATGCGCATGCGTGAATCCACTGAACGACAATAGCGTGGGCGCATCAAATCTGATGGAGGGAAACCGAAAACTCGGGCGTAAAGTTAGAGTCCTTTTAAAAGCCATTTGGTTGGTGCTTTGAATACCGTAATTTCCAACAAAAACTATTCTCCATAACAAAAATCGGACGTTTTCTACGCGGGTTTTCACTAGTAGATTTTTCAGCAAAAGGTTTTCTTGGCCTTTTATAGACTTTCAAGACTCAACGCCAAAAAGTTATGTTCTTGTATAAGTCTGATTTTCACTGGCAAAGCAATGCATTTCTATGGTTTGATTTCCAAACTCGTGGTCTTACTTATCAGGGAGGAAATGCATCGTAGCAATGATCAGCTGCTTTAAGACAAAAAGCGGAAAAAACATTTACCACGCGAGGTTTATTTATTAACGTGATGTCTCATGTTAAACTGATCGCGGAGACACGTGTTTATATATGCCACAAAAACATAAAATCTATGGGGTTTTTACAGTTTTTCGAAAGTTTTCGCGGAAAAATTTATAACAAATATTCTATAGGAAATGAAGAATGGATTGAGTTTGAGACAGCAACAATTACAAGTGATAATGTGCTACATAATTTCATGAGCATTTCATAAGCTCAGTTGCAGACAAAACGAATGCACATACTCCGAAAAAACGAACAGTACTTTTATTTTTCTTTAACTCTAAAAGATACAGAGATTTTTTATAAGCTACTATTTTGAAGAAACTCTTGAGTAACACTGCTCCTGTGTTCCACAATCGATTTCTTGTTATTAATTTATATTTGATGACAGTAGTGATCCATTCAAAACAGAGAATGGCCATCACTCAATAAATCTAACTGACGATGTTGTTCACCTTCAAAGCCTGTTTAAACATGAGACAGGAAGTTTGTTAAAGGAGTGCATATAATGCTGTTTCCTCGAAAAATAAATACTTCTGCTAAAGGACCCAAGTGAGCTGGGATGCGACAATAAACATGACACAAATGGATGGATGAATTTGTCTGTTAATGTTTCTGTTGAGAGCTTTTTACTGTATTCAGATGAACCCCTTATGTAAGTTGTACATCATGGAAGAATTATCAAGCAGAGACTGATGCATTAAACAAGAATGTGGTTCGATACAGAGGAGAAGATGCAAGGTCTCAGTCAATATCCTTCGTGAATGAAATGTCTCACAAATTACAGCATATCAACAACTGTAGTATCCACAAAATGGTATCATTTAGGAATAAATGCGATTTTTTTGCAACAGAAGCCAGGATTTATTTAAAAGGTGTATTGATAACGTTTCATTTCGAGCTATTTTGAGGTTGGGGAGTTAGGCTAGATTTTCTTTAAAACGCCAAAATGTTATATTTATTTGCATAATCAAATGTAAACAAACAGTGCACCATCAAAATAAGGTGGAAAAAATCAGAATTCAAACTGATTGCTGTAATTTTTTTTCCTTTGTATAACTAAATGAGAGAATATTCTGATATAAGTCAAAACACAATCTTACTGGCATCATTATATTGATTTAAATTTATAGTTGAAGTGCGTGTATTTTATTTCTCAACGAAGACGTACCGGAGAAGAAAGCTAAAATTACTGCAGAAGGCGATTTTTCACAGCCTTCAACAAACCGCCATTCATTCGCGGAAGTATTCTTAGTTTCATTAATCATTAACTTAATCTGGGGAGAAAGGCAAGATTTCGAGATAAACAAGCAAGTGAAAGGGTGAAAAACAGTTTCACAGCAGAATGGACACTTAATTTACCACTGTATTCAGGGGCGTAGCCAGGATTTTTCAAAGGGGGGGGTCACCATCCGGGGATCGCCGACTATATATGGTTTATACCGCTGCTCTCCCTCGTGTATCAGCGCGTTCAGTCGTATTATATCGCGGCATGAAGGCCCATATTAACTAAAGACAAGAGCCGTTGAAGAAAATACTTTGCAAAAAAACAAATTTTAAAAACGTGGGCTTTTCAGCAACGGCTTTTACGGCCAAGATAATGTCATGGCGTTTTCGCCACCTGAATATTGTAGGTTGTTTGCTCAAAAGAAGGCCTACCAAGGAGGAAACACGGGCACCCCAGGACCCCCCCCCCCCCAGCTACGCCCCTAGTATTCCTGAAACGATTAAGTTCGATTTTAGAGTTATACCATTGAGACGAATTAAGTATGTATAGGATAATTGTTTAAGAAAAAAACTATTATACTGATCTTTTCCTCCTGCTCAAAAACTGCGCGCGAAATGTTAGGTGGTAAGAACATTCAGCCGCCATCTTGTCTTCAATGTACTGTTTTACGAAAGGAAAGACTGTCCTCTCAAAGGTAACAGCGAGGCTACAACAAACTCACTTTCATCGTAGAAATACCTCGATACCTTAAAGAACATGTTTGTGGAACGTAGCACCCAATACACGTCACTCAGCTCCAGAAAACAGACTGCAAATGCTGGTACTGAACGTAAACAATTCTCAGAAAATGCCTCTGTGGCACTTCAACAGCCCATATTGACGCATGCGCAGACAAAATGCCCTCCTGTTCCCTTGACACTGGGATATTCATTTATGTTCAAAAAGTTCTAACTCTGAAACTTTGACAAAACACCACAATTTTGTTTTGCTTTATATTGATTCACCGTCTAGCACGTTCAATATATACAACGCCGGAGTCCGAGAAAGCGAACTAATGACACTGATTGCCGGCTTTAATCAACAAGATCACTGAGTGTGTATACAGTCGAATCTCCCGTAAGCGACCACCCAAAATACAAAGACTTGTCGCTTACGGGAAGGG